ATTTGGGATTGCTAAATTGATTTTTTCCTTACCCAAAATGTTTAAGTAACAGATATTTAAAAAGTAAACAAATAATGAGAACAATAGAAAACCTTTTTCTTACTTACTAAGCACCCTATATAATTTTCTCAATTTTTGGAGGATTAATTAATCGTTTGGAGAGTGAGCCCCTTAATTGCGTGAATGCTTATTTTAAAACTAAATTTCTCTATAATGACAAAACTTGATACAGTATATATAATAAATGTTTGCAATTCTCTCAACACATTGTGAGACACTAGTAATTACAGAAGCATTAAAAATACTAAGTTCACACTTAGTGTGGTTATGTAACAGACGAACTGTAACCTACACGTGTTACTAAATAAAACAAAGTAAAATTTGATTAGTAATTTTTCGATAACATTTCAAAAACTTTGAGTCAAGATAATAATTTACGAATGTTGAGTAATGAGTATAGCGAAAGTATAATTATAACTTCGAATTTTTTTACGATTTATATCAATTAATACCAATAGTTGAACTATGATGGCTGATAAAATTAAAATTCTATTTTAATCATTTAACTTGTTTTTAATTAATTTTTTCATTATTGATACTTTGAATTTCTATAGCATAGAGATTTTTTTTATAGTTAAAATAAATGAAAAATTGACAACATAATGAAAAAATGTAGCGGTATTAGAAAACACAAATGACCAATTTTAGCTTTGTATCATACACATCAGACATTTTTTTTAATGTAGTGTTCTGCACGTATCGATTTATACTTTAATAAATGTTTGTTTTTATTTTACGTTATACGTAATAGCCTGATTAAGTTAACCTTAAGTTTTTAATAGTAGAGAAATTATATTAGTAAAGATGAATATGAAATTGACATGCATAGTTTGGATACTGAATTTTACATCCGTATATGATACATGTCCTATTCCATTTATTTAACTCAATTTTAACTAATTAAATACATATTCATATGTAACAATCGATAACGAACAATCGAAATATATAAGAATATATATTTTTAATATGATATTTATCAACTGCTAAAAATATTGAATGTATGCAAATTGCATATAACTGTTGTACTAAGTAAATATAATGACAATTTACACATAAATTCATCAAATAACATATTTAATAGCGCATATTTAAGTACATAATTTTTAATGCTTAATCTTATAAGCCATGCAATTATGATTGAAATGCTTCAGTATAATTTTAGACAATTGTAGTTACACACAAATTGATACTTAATTAGTTTAAGAAGTTTAACCCATTACACAGAGAGACATAATTCTTCTATAATTTAGCAAATTAGTTTGGAAATTTGGCTATTTCGTAATAAATTACAAAATAAGCAACTTACGTATTATAGTGCATATTTCAGCGGTTTATCATCAAAATAGATACGTTGCAATGGTTTTATGCATTACATGCGTGTTAATAATAAATAACAAAGTTATTCATAATTGACAAGTATAAATTTAAAACCATGATATACAGCTAATAATGGTGTGATATATCAAAATTGCAGTGTCGGCGACCCACGTGCCACGCATAACTTTTATTTCAGGGCCTTCAATCCCTTCTATTCAAAACACAAAACAGAAATACGCAGAACTTTTGATTTTAAAAATTAGTTGTAAGAACTTCTAAAACAAAAACATTAACATTTGATAGGACGTTAAGCGATTGAAATTTCATTAAAACTTACATTAAATTATTTTTATTAAAAATTAGTAAAACAAAAATAATGTCTATATATTTTTAATATACATCAAATCATTTACGACTATCTCTTCTAGCATCTTCATTAACATAAAATATGTCACATTAATTATTATTCATATTATGAATAATAATCTTGATATATTTTGTTAAAATATTAAGACTTAATTAAACTAAAAAAGGCGATTAAAAAGTAAGTTTCATTTTGCCATAAAATTAAAACTATTTTAACACGAAATTTGTTTAATTTGAAAGTAGACATTAAATGCTATATTTTTCAATAATTGTCAAGAAATGTATAGCATTTTTTGTAATGATGTATGTTAAAATATATCTTAAAAATATCCATACAAATTAGTGTATATGTTTAGAGTGACCGCGTTTACTACAACACTATGAAAGTAACTCTATTTGACCATTCAGTCCAAAAAAAAAACCTAAAATCAAAGGTAATTAATTAGGCTGTAAGGTAAATTCTCCTACTACTTTTATTTGGTCTTATATGTCTTATCTTTGGTCATTTTTACTGTCATGGATTAGCAAAATTCAATACAAATTTTTACCAGACCTCGATTATTATATATATATATTAATTTTATTTTATTAATTTATATTTTTTACATATTTAAGAGTCTCTCGATGACGAATTTTATTAACTTTTTTACAAAGTTAAGTTGGTCAAGTGTTTTAACACATAGGGGCTTTCTGCTCATCGCTCGTCATTGTTATTCATACGGCTGTTTTTTGAGCATATTGCATTAATTATCAATAGATTATCTTAAGATCACCTTCTTACCTTTGCATATTTTACTCAAAATTTTGACTATTTTATTACTTTCAAACTATAAAAATTTAAAAGTAGAACGGATTTTCATATTTGACTGTGAAAAGTGCTATTATAATTTATAATAAATGTTTTTAAAAAATCCTCCTTTACGAAAAGTTATGGCATAATGTAATTTATTTTTTGATCATCCCTGGTAAATATAAAAGAGTATTTATTCCAGATGGTATCATTTTAGATGTTAAATTTTGTTTTTTTTTTCTACTTAAGAATTCAATTATGAATATTTTAAAAGTATTTTATAGTTTAAAATCATGACTTTAACTATTTTTAACTTTCAATTATAATTATAATTTGGAACGAATTTGAATATGACTCTATTCTAATTTCTCTAGCATTATTATTAGCATCATTGAAATTGATTCATATATACTAAAATGAAACGATTTCTTCGAAATCAGCATAATGTCATATAACATAGGTATTAAATTGTCGAACCGTTATCGCCTGATTCGTTTATAATTTGTAGAAGTAGCCAAATTATACTTATTATATTTATTACTTTTATATACCACTTAATATAATAAAATGGAATATATGTAATTTATTATATTTTACAATATTAATAATTTGTCTTAATTTACAGCAAAAGTGCAGAAATTTATGGATAAAAGACAAATATTTATATCATGGGCGGAAATTTTATGATTTTCGGAGAAGTGAGGCCAAAAATAAAATTTATCGTTTGAAAAAAAAAAATTCCCCTTTTTGGTGAAGTGAAAAAAAAGGTAAATTACAATTAAAAACCTTGTTAGCAATTCATTTAGGTGGTCTTGGCCTCAATTATCATTAATTTAATGCAGAGTGTAGGAGATAATTGTTGACTATTAATCATTAATACATTATATAATTGTGAAAATTGTTTAATAAATTTTCAATACTATTACAGTGTTATCTAAATTTTATGTACCAAAATAGTTTCTAAATATTATTTTAAGAGGAAAAAGAAAAAAAGGAGCAAAAATTGTATAAATATCAGTATTCCCTGAAGAAACTGATGCCTTATACATTTTTTTAATAATAATAAAATGAACTAAAAATCAGTGGAAACCACCTATTATATATATATACCTAACTTGCATATCATACAGCATTTTTAGTATAAAATTTTTAAATTTTAGTTGATAATTATAATTATATTTAAATGTCGATTAGAAGATATGAAAGTTTGCGCAATAGAAATTAAATAAAATCATACTTTAAATCTGAGAAAGGAAATAAACCTAGTTCATAATAAGTAATTAATTAAATATTGCCGTGTCTAAACCACGAGTTAAAATTAATTACTATTATTATTTGTAGTATGATAATTTTTTATCTAAAATGAACCTATATATTTTATAAAAATCCTTGAAATAATAAAATATATAGTGAATCTCATTATTTTTATTCAAACATTTTTTATAATGTGGTTTTTGGATATACGAATAATATTTATTGAATATTTTTATTAAGTAAATATTAACTATAACTATTAACTGTAACTATTTCTTGAACAGAGCAATCAACTAATCAATCGTCTCGCAGTATAAAAGGATTTAGAAACCTTCTTTTCGGAAAAGGCAGAGCTATCTGTATAGTAAATGCTTAAAAAAATGTATATACGTTAATTGCAGTGGCATATTTAGGAGACTGTGAAATACTGATATAAAAATGTCCATTGACTTATTTTTTTTCTCATAATATACTCAATATAAGTAAAAATATTTCATTAAAGCTTATCAATTGAAAATTTTCATTTGTGCATCTTCCTATTGTATATTTCTAAATATTCCCCATGTTCATTGATGTTACAGTATCAAATGAATATTCAAAAATAAATTAAATTGCATTTATCAATTTTATCTACTTAAGTTAAGTAAGTGAACTTTATTTGTTATCTGATCTTCAGATTTACAATCCATCATATTTTATATTTAAATGTACTTTTTGTCTTAGTAAAACGATTTTAAATTTTTAATCGAATTATTCTTCAATAAATATACGTGCGTACACAATTTATTAATTATGAAAGCTATCTATCTCAAAACATCACAATATTTTTATAAAATTATGTAATCTATTAGCCCAACAGTCGCTAAAAATAAAGGCTTAAGGAGATTTAAATAATTAATATTGCAACCTCTAAGCCAAAAAGTACTAAAATATTACTGATTATAATACTTTAAAGCATGAATACTATTTTTTGATATAAAAATTTGCTATAGTATTAACCGGAAAAAGTTACGTTTTGTCTGTTTCCGTTTACTGGAAAATGTTCAGAATAAAATAAAGAAATGGAAAATCAATTTATAGTGCATCTCAACATGAAAGGTGTCAGTTTCTTTAGATTATTGATACGTCTGTTATGGGACACAAACTTGCTACGTTAAGAAAGAAAATATTTCAATTGTTCGGTTTGATTAATAGTGGGAGATTCACCTACCTGTTGTTTGGTCCTAGGTCAGCAACAGAGACGACGACAAAGAACGGGAAGTATTTTTGCTTAGGCCAAAGACCCACTGCAGGTAAAAAATCTGCGCTTAGAATTACACAAAGTAAAAACACACGCACTTGAACGTTTCTAGTAGATCCGTGCCAGCAACGGGGGTGGAGGAATAACTCGTGGCGGATTATAAAATATATGTTTATTATTTGCTAATCCGTACGGTATATACGCGTTCACGCGCAACGACGGTCGGGAAACTGACCACATGAAAAATATTATTTAAATATCAATCTTCCGGCGCTCGGCCGCCGCCGCCACCTCGTTTAGAGGTCGAACCGAGTTCGGGTCAACCGATATCGCGGCTATATGTATAAACATATTTTATTTATGTATACATATATCTTTTTTAATAGATTGAGAAAGAGATAGAAATAAGTAAAAAACACATAGACACACACAATGCAATCAAAGTGTAGTCGATATGGTGTACAATAACAAACACGCATTACAGTAGGTAGTAGGAAACGTCTCAGTTGTTATGACGGATCGTCACCGGTTTGAGTTTTATTTTCATTATGACTACTAGGCTATTATAAGGTACGTCACATGTTCGGTGGGAGAAAAATGTGAAACACCCAGCTGATTACAACGAGGATTAATGCCATTGATATTGATTTTTTTGCATAGTCAAACTATTCATAAAAAACTAATTTGAATATGTTTATAAGTATTTTTTTTATTCAAAAATCTCGAGCTAAAAAAACCAGGTAAAAATCAAAACTATTATTACTTAAGGATGAATATAGAACCATAAAGAAATATGATGTGCAATATAATACACTGTTGTTGAGTAAAGCCACGTTGGCCAAAACAGAGAAAACGCTATTTTTTTTGGAAATAAACCAAAATATGAAGTCTATGAAAATATATAAAAATCAGTTGACTGTTATTAAAGAAACGATTTTGTATATTTTAAAGTTAATAGATTAAAAAATAAGTATCGGAGAAATTTTAAAACAAATTTGATAAGGAAAATTTTCGCCATACATTTTTTTAGATTAAATTTTATTTGGTTATTTTTAACTACACCCAACACATTTGGAGAATATTTTCATGGACACGTCAAAAGTATTTTACAGCCAAATTAAGATACCGACAAGTGATGAAATAATTACAACGCAAGCAAGTCAGTTTGCATGGGAACAAACCGTACTACAATATAAAACCTACACTATTTTTTTTATCACTAAGTAAACACATTATTGTTTTTATTAGACATGGTTTTTATATATAACATCTTCGCTTACTTTTTCTATAATCAAAAGAAGACCAAGTAGAATTTAAAGATTTACTATCAGTACTTTTAAACTTAATAATAAATGTGAAGTGATTCATGCAAAAAGGGTTCTTAAAATTTTTATTTCATTTTGAGAAAATGTTAAAAAATTTCATGATCCTAGATAATTTAAGATTTTTTTTACGTTGTTATTGAATATATATATATATATATATATATGTAAATATCAACAATTCTGTTGATTTTATCTCTTGTATTGGACTAAGGCCCTTTTTGCATAAATCAACAGTGTGACAAACATTTATATAATTTTTACTAAAATAATGTAATTCTCAAATGAAAAACGTAAATTACAATTGAATATTGTAATAATTGATTAATAATGATCACTTTTAACAATTTAATCTACATTTTCATTTTCTTCGTAAGTAATGATTGTCCAATTAATGAGAGACTTGAAAGAATGCACATATTTTTCCAGAATGCATGGTTGTAGCTTAACAATATCAATCATCTATCTTACCTTTCTTTAAAGGGACTTTTCGTGGACTAAGCTTATATATTTGAAAATTTTTAAATAACATATATACTCATGTTGAATCTATGAAAAAAACTTACCATCGATGTAAGGGTACGCTTTCAACACTCCAGGATCTGTTTATTGTGATTGAAGTGATCAAAACTGCTGATACCAAAATATATATTATCTTCTTTTTTTCTTTTCTACTACTTGTTTAAACTGATATAGGATTTCTTTTAAAATATGTCAAACAATATTCCATAAAATATAGAATTTCATCAGTTTCCACCGATTTTTCCGTAAATTTTTGACAGCTTTTATGGACTGCTGCTCAAAATAATTTGTAATAATTGTTACACGAAAAAAAAAAATTCTGTCAAATTTTCTCAAACGTCTTTTTACTTGGCTAAAATTACAATCGCATGGCAAAATACTAATGTCTTTGTATGGTGAAATATTGTTCTATTTTATCAAATATTTTCATCGTAATTAGAGCAAATAACATTTCCATTAATGCATGATTTTTGTTTTGCTCAGTGCAATTATCACTAAATAGGTGCAAAGTCTTTACAGTTTCAAGAATTTCATTATTGATTTAGCAAAAATAAATATACATTACACGAACCTTAATTTCAATTTCCTTTCTGATATACGTAAAATTTTGCAGTATTCTATTTTACATTAGTCACCGCGAAACATTGATTTTTATTTATCGAAGATAAATCTTAATATCTAAAAATAGTATCTTATGTAGAGATTCTAAGTAAAGTGTGATTTTCCATGAAATCAAACACGTTAGCAGGAACTTTTTTATCTGTATTACTGATTCCTGTATCTAATTTCAATTTTGAATAAAATTTACTAGCTCCTTTTTTATGAATTGTCAAATCATTTCTCTTTGTTGTCTTGCTAATATGTGAATTTTTTATTTTTGTATTACAATATAAATTTTGTATTGTAATCAGAAAAATGTATACTATACGTCGAGATTTATCTCACTATATTTGTTATTCGATACTTTTAACTAGTATGTGGACTTAACTCAGTGATATTTAAGGATGACAAAGGTGCAATAATTATTAGGTAAAAATAAGGTGGAACAATAATTAAATGCATGGGCGTTTTCGCAAGAAGGATAGAACTCCTCCTATGACGAAAAAAAATATATTTTTTAGAGAGTAATAAAACATATTTTATGCATACCTCTTCAAGAAAAATCCCCGAGAACACCACTGATTAAATACTAAATTTCTAGAGGTGATCACTAAATGTTAACGTAATTACTGTTTATATCAAAAAATAAATATTTAATGATTAAAGTTTTAGTAATAATAAATTATTATAACTAGTAGTTGTGTTAAATTAATGATTTAAGAACAATTAGTAATCAAATTTTCTTATTAATCTTAGAATAATGCAGTACTTACTGAAAAGACAATTATAAATAAAATTGGCGATGATGGAAGCTAGTCACTTGAATTAAGATCATTTTTATGACTTCAGATTGAAGATTTCATTTGTAATTGTATAAAAAATAACTTTAAAATTTTCAACCCTTTAAATAGCATTATACTAAAATAATTACTACGCTATACGATTAGGTAATTTAAATTATTTATTTAAAATGCCAATCGCAAAAACGGAAATTTACAAAAATTATAACTTACATACATAAGTGGTATAAAATATAAGACAAAATTAATAACAGTGAAAATTTTACAAAAATAATGATAAAATCATACTATAAGTAACACATGATAATAATCATAGTAAGTAAAGAAAGATGCATAAGTACTTAACGGATTGTCTTTATATTAAAGGTAACATTAACGAAGGGTTTGGTGAAGTGGATGATTATATTAATAGGAAATGAGGTTATGAAAAAAATTATAAAGAACTCAAAAAGGTTTGAGTTTAAAAACTTCAATAATATTAGACAGTAGAAAATGAATGAAAATTTTATCGGCTAGCATCCGGTATGAAGAAAATATTACAATATCTAATTATCCAATTATTTCTCATTATTGTACTCCTATAATCATAATAAATAACTAAAATTTTAAATTAAAAAATATAAAGAATAAAAATTTATTTTGTACATACTCAATACAGACTACATCCTTGGATAGATAAGGGCAATAGTGTGCATTAACTAGTTAAAAAATTAATTTTTTTTCTTAACTTATCAACTTAACTGGTTAATTATTTTTCTAATAAACTTTTTAATTTTCCGTTTAAATAACAACTTTTCCAGTTAATTAGTTAAATAACAATTAAGCTAAATTTAAAATTTCATTAAAAAAATAAATGGCTATATGCTGGATTAATTAAAAAAAAAATCCAATTTTCCCCTATCCTAAAAATATTATTTATATAAAAGAGAATATAATTCCTAAATTTTTTCAGGGGATTCTATGAACTTGAAGGCTAGTTGTACCAGTGTTGTTCATTATAAATATAAAAACCAGAAAAAAAACATATGTGATTTTAAATGATTTTTTTTTAATAACTTATTTTAAAGATAAAACAGTGCAACCAACATCAAAATGTACAAAACTAATCAAAAAAATTTTGTTATCATTAATATTTTCTTCCTATTCAGTTAAAAATCGGTTAATTTTCCATAGTATCACCTACCAATAAGAAATGATTTTAAGAAATTTTAACAAAAAAAATGAACTTTAGATGAAAAAAACTTTGTTTATACTAGTTAAGTAAAAAAAAAATTTAACTTAGCTAGTTAAATTTATAATTTGATAACTTTTAACTATAAATTTATAGACATTGTTCATACTTAACTTAACTTGAGATAATTATTTCTATTAACTTGCCCATCTTTGGATATAGGTGCTAAATGACAGTCCTATACTCAAAAATTTAATGCATTTAGGAATTGTAGGGGATACAAAGACAGCTGACGGAGGTAAAAAGTAGTATGCTGCGTTTGATGTTTTTTAAAACTTTTAAGGCTTACATACAGTTATGTCATTGTGGTGATCAAAACAGCGATAAGAAAAGTAGTAGAATCTGAGATCTTAAATGATAAGACGCGTTGTAGAGGAGTTTCATTTAAAATATAAAAAAATCATGAAAGGAAAGTAAAACCTGTAAAAGGATATACCTTGACATTTAGCAAGGTTGAAATAAACCTAAATTATTTGCCCACTTCATGAAAACATTCAATTGATCTTGTAGAATTTAACAATCACTAATAGATATAGGCGCAAATTGAAAGAGCTTAGCCCCTCCTAAATGACAGTAAAACTATATGTATTATATAATACATATAGTTTATATATTACATAATATTGTATAATATTATACAATTATAATTTTAAGTAGAGGAGAATTAAATATAATAAGCCCTTCAAATAATTGCGCCTATGGTTTGGTAAAATTGTAAAATTAAATAAAATAATCTTAGTTATATGATCCTTTTATTTTAAATTAGATGTGAAATATTTTACATAATTACTGATAGAGAGGAAGACTTTTTATTATATATATAAAAGAATTATTATGATACTTTGATCTTTTGTGGGTGTTAATATACAAGTATAAAATAAAATAGAGCATAGTTTAAATTCCATTAAAAGCCTTACTTCATCAACAATTGTTGCATCATTTTTTCTTTGGTTTTAAAATTTAATTAACTGACATTTTTATTATAAACAAAAAGTAATTTTTTCATTTTATAATTGCATAAATTTATGTAAAAAAATAATATTTTAATGGTATTATTATTATAAGATTTAATATGATTTGTTGTTAATAAATTTATGTAATTTTTACTTTAATTTAAAATTATGCATATTTTGAAATGTTATTTTTATAAATATCATAGTTAATTTTCAGGTAAGAACTAAAAATGTTTAACCAATTAATCATCTTTGTTATGTATACAGAGTGATTATTTTATCACGAAACATTTTTTTAATCAAAAATTAAAAATAGTATTGATATTTTTTTCTTTAGATACATGTTTTTTTTTTAATTTATCAATCATGAAATATTTTTAATGTTCAGCCCTTATACCTTATGAGGGTGTCAACTTTATATTATTAAATGACAATATACATAATTCACTTGCTTATTGATTAGATGATTTATATTATAATATTATTTAATACATCGAGATAAAAAAATACACTGGAGCACGCACTCGCAAACAAAAAATGAAACGCCGTGATAATGACTATCCACATTACCGACAGCAAAAAGATCAATCTAATATGTTAAAAATAGCAAGTGTTACGGACATTAAACTGCGGTTTTTTTAGAATTGCTCTTGCCAATTATTAGTATTTTTTTAATTATATATTTGAGACTGTGTTTTATAGGTAATAAATTAAAATTGAAGTTTATAAAGACAATTTTTATTTACTAAAAATATATCTGTTAATCGTGTGAACTGGTTGAACCTAGATCCCCCTGAAAGTAATATTTTAGAATTTCGATCAGAAAAATGCAATTTATCTAATTCAAATGATAACGAACTTAAAAAATATTAAATTTTTTTTTGATAATGTAAATTTAAGTTACTAAGTGAAAGATATATTAGATTATATTAGAAAATATATCAGAAAATCATGTTTAAATTGTATTAATTTACTTATAGAAAATCAGTTAGAACATGAGTCTAACAATTTAAATTTTACAAGAGTTGTAAACCTAGGTAAATTAATTATCACTTCTAAAGCTATTTCATTGATAATTCAGATAAAAAAATCTTCACATGAATGTAAAATTGTTTATTATTTAAAGTACAAGGAAAAGTATATTAAATAAAAGCAATTTTTTTTCCAAATTTACATCCTACCGATGTTAATTTTGGTGCACCTAGTCATGAATACTCTTTATTTACATTAATTTATCAAAAATGTATTAATATTAAATTGAGACATCATGAGAAGCAATTTAATATGCGAGAAACTTTTAAAAATCAATCTTCTCTTAGACAGAAACTTACAAAGGTTATCTTGTTTAAAAATATATTAATTTAAAAAATGATAATAATTGTTATACTCCAAGTTCATTATCTCAGACATTGAGTTTTATGTTTGTAATATAATTTAAAAATTTGAAATTAATATTAGTATTAATTAATAAACCTATATCCTATAACATTAGGCTATAAATTATATATAAATATATATAATACCTAACATATACATTATATTAATTGTTAAATGTATTCAATTAGAATAACAAATGACTTTCATTTTTCAAACAATTTTTTATGTAGAACATTATGTTTAGTTTTATTGTTTTAATTTGTATTCACACTTTTCATAAGTACACAAAAAGTTATATTGTATAGATAAAAGTTTTTTTTTTTATAACACATATATTTGTACTAATAATTTTAAGTTACTTATAGTCTAAGAAGTGAAGTGAACCTATTTTAGTTTGTATGAATTTGTATTAATATGTACTATAATTAAATATATACTAAATATATATTAAATATACTATAAATAAACATATAAATATTGTTTTTATTTCATATTACTTCCAAAAAAGTCTGGTAAGTGACAAAATCATCTTTACAGTTTTAGGGTAATGAATCAGTCGTACGTTTTCTGTGAACGTAATACATTTCTTGTACGGTGGTAGGATGTACGCGCTCCAGTGTATGTATCTTTATCTTGATGATATAATATAATATTAGCCATTATGACGTTATTACTAGTTGATAACAAATATCGGTACAATATTTAGGTAGTCTTCAATAATTTAAAATTGGAGGCAGTAGCGTATTTAATGGAGTGTTGGAGGTTTATAACGCTCACTTGAACAACTAAAGTAGTTATTGACTTGTCATTTTCTAAATTGAATCGTTATCTAACTACTACATGATTGATAAGTTAAGAAAAACTGTAAAAAAAAAAAAAAAAATCTCAACATCATAGTAAAATTTTTCTAATAATTAAGTCGTTCAAGATAACAGAATCATTCTGTATATGCATACAATAGTAGATATACTTTGATTAAATATCATTTTAAAAGGTTAGAAATACTTGATCTTGTAGAAATGACTACTTAAATACGCTTTAAACATGTGTGAACAACAATATGAGTTTGTTTCGATATTCACTACCTTATTTTTCGATTATTCATATGTAAATAGTAATTTTTAATTTTCTGATATCAGAAAAAATCAAAAAGATTTTTGCTGTTTGCTTAAAGTTTTTTTACAATAAATGTCCATTTATATTTTAACTATTTCATAATAATATAAATAACATTATGGTTTTATTATTATAAATTGGAATACGTAAAAAAAGTGCGAAGTTAAATTAACATAAAATGCATTTAGATGGAATCACATTTAGCCTATTAAGCAGAATATTTTTTCTAATTGTATCCCTTGGTGTTTGGTAAATTAGATAAAATTAATAAAATATTAAAAATATACATATATTTTTTTTTGTTTTACAACCGTTAGGTTAGTTAATACCAACTGGATTGTTATGTCCTGGGGAAATTTAAGTGCAGTGGTTTCCCGTTGCCTTCTGCACTGGGAACATTGTGCATTTTCGCCACCGTAGAAGCGCACGCATGGTCACCCATCCGTTCACCTACGGCAGTAGGCACAGCTTAACACTAGAGATTTGTCAACAACTAGTGTGACCACCGTACCGCACCACGTCCATATCTATATTAAAATATATAGATAAGAATACAACTTTTTATTTTTATCTGTAAAATAAAATTGATAAATCTTAGAAAACAATCAATCAATAAAAACATTTTGGTAAACACTTATAACTTTGATTTTTATTTTGAGATTTACTAGAAAGATTTTATTATATACATTACTTACATTGGAGTGTTAGACTTATTAGTCTTTTAAGTTAAATATTAATTAAATCCTAGAACGAGACCTATTTTAATTTAGCCTTTCTGTTCATAATAATCAATATTGTAGTAAGAAAAAAAAATTCTTTACCTTAAATGTTAAAAAAAACAAAAATTTCAAATAAAAATTAGATTTTTAATTAATATTTTCGATGGCCTATTTAATTAACATTTAAATAATCTTAACTAACATAGAGTATAATTATATTTAGGCCATAATTTACCAATTCGTGAGTACATCACAAATTCAAATATAAGGCCCCTTATATTCAGTGATATAACTCCATTAAGCTAAAAAAAGGTCATCAACTATCACAAATTGTGATGTTGGGCGTCTTCTTTCTTGTGAGTCCTGTACAAATGTCTCAATGTCTTTTTAAAATATGACAGTAAATATACTATGTTAGATTTTTTATTACTCATTTTGTTTCTCAATAAATATGACTTGATAAAACTGTATAAATAGTGACTAATGAAAATATTAGAAAATCTAATATTTATAAATATTAAAATTAGTATTAGAAATTATAATAGGAAACAAATTAGAACTGCTAATTTGTAGTTGATTTTTTAAAAAACTAAGTATTTTTATTTTTAAAGAATGACTATAATTAGTAATATATATATATATATCATAATTCTTATAATATAAATTATATAATCATAAAACAAAATGTTGTCTTTATTAATAGATTAGAATACACAGGTAAAAAAATGGATTGTTGTATCAAACTATCTTCTATACCGATATCGTTTGAAATGAAACCATAGTTGAAAAATATTATTATGAAATTGACAACGAAAACCACGTTTATAAGAATATTCCCATTCTCTATTTACTATTTTGAATGCAATATCTTCATAAGGAGGTCCTGCATGAAACCGTAAAACTGCAAATTCTGGATTGTCTGCACAAGCAGTCTAAAAAATTTATATAATTTTGTTAAATATAAAATTGTAAACCATTATAAATTTCTAATTTTGATTTATAATAACTCACCAAAAAATATTGAGGAGTTGAACCCTTATTTATTAAATCTGGGTAAAATATATTAAATTTATATCCTTGTACTATTTTTGGAGGTGGATTATCCATATCATAATGAGTTTGATTATATTTATTCCATTCAAAACCAGTATGTACCCTAATGAAACAAAAATTGATTTATATCAAATATAGAAATTACAATAATTTTATTCTTATTTGTAATAAGGACTAAGAGTTATGTGCATTTATAGATTTGTTTGAGCTATTTAGAATGATCCCAAGTTTGGGTGACTTTGTCATATAATTATATAGTAATGTAAAAATATTTTGTTTTGTAGGGGATATAAACCTTCTGCCAACCCACAAAAAAAAAACTATAATCTCGGTAATAACACTTTACTAAGTTTCAAGTCAATTAAAAATAATTTGTAATGACTTATGGTGTGTTCAGAATAAAGCAAAAAAAAAATATAAATGCATATAATTCGTAACCCTACTTATAATAATTATTATAATTTACCTATTAAAATATCTAGGTTTACGAGGTCTATATTTATCGGACCACAAGTATACTTGATGATCCAATTCTGATTCAACTGAAAATTCTGCTTCATCATTTGTCATTCCTTTTCTAGCTTCTTTCTGTAAAGCCATTTCTTCAGCTGCCATAACATTCTTTAAAATAATATTAATAGTTAGTTTTTTATTATTTTTTCTTTATTATACCTGACTTAAAATATTTAGAATCATAAATTAAAAAAAAAAATTTTTTAGAGCTTAACAATTGTTTGTTTTCTATTATTAAAAGCTTTATTTTATGATAATTGTATTTTATAAACTTTACTCTTTGATCAAGGTTAACTGATAAAAAAACTAACAAACAACCCAAATGCACATAATAAATTGGTCTCAAATATCTCTAGTTTCATATGACTGTCACATTTGCAAACAAATATATCATTATTTATGATGGTTGTTACAATAAATTCTTCAAAGTCAATTTATTTTATAATATCACACAAACAATTTTTGAACATGATGCTACTTATAATATATTACTTTGAAAAACTTACTTCAATTCTCGTTCCAGTACCCTGAACTTGCAATCTGGCAAAGGTCAATCTTTTATTGTCATCTTCTTCGGATACAATTAAAGTACCAAGTTCAAGGCTATTAGGAGATACATAAACAGGACTATATCTATTTACTTCATAATCAGCTACACATTCTTCTAAGATATTTCGAACTTCTTGCTCAGCATCACTGAAAAAATAAGAAAATATGGTATGAAACAAACTTAATAATTTAAAATACCAGTAGTACTGTACTGGTTGATACAGTTACTAATACAACTATATATACAAATAATACAATTTACACCATAAATTACTAAAAATATGACAAATAACAATTTGAGGTCAAAAAGAAAAAAAAAAAGAGTAATTTTTTGCTTTGTACATAAACATAAGATGGGATAGATTTTGGATTCATTTATAGAAGAAAAAAACTTGAGAATAATTTAAATACAAAGTAAAATTATAAAGAATTAAAAAATAAATAAAACATAAACTTAGGAACAAGATAATATTAACTGTATTATATTAATATTTATTTTTATCCAAAAGAATGTAAAGTTATATAAATGTCTGTAAATTATCATCATCATCTTTTTATCCTTTATCCAAATAGCTGGTATAAAGGATTAAGAGATGATGATGATCAGCTCTAACTTTCAATGATTTGACAAGATTTTTATACTGGCTATCAACCCAATGCAATCTGATTATGACTGAGAGAGCCATTAAGGGGCAAGGTGTGTCTTACTGTTAAAGTCCTCATCTTGGAACCAACAGCAAACACTGCAGTTGATCATCAGCGCTAATGTGGCGACTGAATAATCCACTGCATTACACCAAACCCCAAAAAATAAATGTCTTTAAGTCTTAAAGACATTATAGAATAATTAATAATAATTAATTTATATAAAAAAACAGTGGGGTCGTGGCATAGTTGTGTCCAGTATAGATGATATCTGACAGTGATTAAAATCACTATCATAAAAAACGCTTCGATGCAAATCTGTAGATAGTGTTAAATTAAAAAAATTAATACCTTCTCCGCTTCGCATCGAAGCTAAAAAAAAATTTGTTAAAATAGCATATTTTTGAATATGGTAGTCATTTGCGCATAGAAGATAGATCGTCGGGACAAATTTTTTTTTTTCATTTTATAGTACATAAAATAAGCTTTAATTTGAATATGTTTAAAGGACGCAGTATTTCCGGAACATTTTCAAAAATTAAGTTGAAAAAGTTATTTTTTGTAAAAAAGTTACTATTTTAAATCCTCCCAAGTGAGCAGAATAAGTGTTAGATTTTCAAAAAAATTATATCAAATGAAAGGGAAATATCTAAGGTTTCAATACAAAAATATTATTTTTATTTGTTAATTTTTGAAAAAGTTATGGCAGTTTTAAGCACAAAAAACATCTCGATAAAAGGTAATTTTTATCGCAAACATTACATTTTTTTTTAATTTTCGACAGCCATTTGCACATAGAAGATAAGATGTCGGGACAAATTTTTTTTTTTCATTTGATAGTATATAACATAACCTTTGATTTGATATATGTTTAAAGGACGCAGTATTTCCGAAACATTTTTAAAAGTTCAGTTGAAAAAGATCTATGTTTTTTACAATATTTCAAGTTTTGAACGACCCCTATATAAGCGGAAATTGTCCAATTTTAATAAAAAGTATGTCAAATGAAAGATGTACTTATAATGTATTTAGAAAAAAAAAATTTGTGCTGATATATACATTTTTCAAAAAGTTATAGCATTTTTAAGTTGAAAATTTAAAATCGAAAATCGAAAATTTTAACACAAAAATAGTGTTTTTTTAACTACGGCAGCCGTTTAAATGTAGAAAAAAAAGTGTCGGGACAAATTTTTTTTTTTCATTTTGTAGTACATAAAATAAGCTTTAATTTGATATATGTTTAAAGGACGCAGTATTTCCGGAACATTTTCAAAAATTAAGTTGAAAAAGTTATTTTTTGTAAAAAAGTTACTATTTTAAATCCTCCCAGTGAGCAGAATAAGTGTTAGATTTTCAAAAAAAATTATATCAAATGAAAGGGAAATATCTAAGGTTTCAATACAAAAAAATATTATTTTTATTTGTTCATTTTTGAAAAAGTTATGGCAGTTTTAAGTACAAAAAACATCCCGATAAAATGTAATTTTTATCGCAAACATTACATTTTTTTTTAAATTTTCGACAGCCATTTGCACATAGAAGATAAGATGTCGGGACAAATTTTTTTTTTTCATTTGATAGTATATAACATAACCTTTGATTTGATATATGTTTAAAGGACGCAGTATTTCCGAAACATTTTTAAAAGTTCAGTTGAAATAGATCTATGTTTTTTACAATATTTCAAGTTTTGAACGACCCCTATATAAGCGGAAATTGTCCAATTTTAATAAAAAGTATGTCAAATGAAAGATGTACTTATAATGTATTTAGAAAAAAAAAATTTGTGCTGATATATACATTTTTCAAAAAGTTATAGCATTTTTAAGTTGAAAATTTAAAATCGAAAATCGAAAATTTTAACACAAAAATAGTGTTTTTTTAACTACGGCAGCCGTTTAAATGTAGAAAAAAAAGTGTCGGGACAAATTTTTTTTTTTCATTTTATAGTACATAAAATAAGCTTTAATTTGATATATGTTTAAAGGACGCAGTATTTCCGGAACATTTTCAAAAATTAAGTTGAAAAAATTAATTTTTGTAAAAAAGTTGCCATTTTAAATCCCCCCCAATGAGCAGGTTAAGTGATAGATTTTCAAAAAAATGATATCAAATGAAAGGTAAATATCTAAGGTTTTAGTATAAAAAAAAATTATGTTGATTTGTTGATTTTTCAAAAAGTTATGGAAGTTTTAAGAAAAAAAAGTGAAAAAATTTCGAAAATTAGCGATTTTTAAATTTGTAATTTTTTTGGATATTTCCCCCATTTGCGGGGAACGAGGGAATTTTTTTCAATTTTTAAGGGTAATGTCTTCAACTAGATACGATTTGTGATCTTTTGACGTATTGTTGAAAGAAATCGGTCCAGTGAGAGCTGAGAAAAAGTGGCAACAGACATAAAAAAAAAAAAAAAAATCATAGTAAAATACCTTCTTCGCTTCGCATCGAAGCTAAAATATATGATTGAATATAACAATTGAGTATCTGATACATCATATTTTTAAATAAACAAAATTAGCATATGATATTTATTTATTAAATAATATAAAATTCACTACTCAGAATTACTGGTATTTAATAGACAATGTATTAATTTAGTCTTGTTATTGAATTTTAAAACTAATTTTAGTGTCCTACCTCATTTCTTCTAAGGAATCTTGAGTTGACTCTTCTTTAGTAAAAGTTTTTTCTTTTGATGTTGATGGCTCAATAGGATTTTGAGATTTTGAGACTGACTGTTGTTGAAGTATATTTCTTTTATTACACTCTTCTTTATCAACTGAAATTTCTGATTCATCCATTTTTTGTTGAGCTTTTAGAACCTCTAATTTACGTTTCAATGTTTCATTATGTCGATCTCTAAGTCTTGCCCGAGCAACATGAGCTAAAAGAAAAATGTTTAAGATTATTATGACATTACAAAATATACAAAAGTTTTTAATACTTTTTCTTAGTTTATAAGTCTGGATTAATTAAAACAATACATCTATATTAATATACATGATGTCGCATATAATAATATAATTTATGGCCAAGTAAAACAGATTACTGTTGCTTCCGGTATTATGAAAACCAAATTAATGATGAATTTTTATTTAAAATCTAAAACTTATTATAATTGAAACGCAAACGGTTGATCAGTAAAAAAAAAATAATAAGAACAAAAATGTTTGAAAATATTTTTGCTATCATATCATCAAAGTAAAAATATGTATACCTATCAAAGAAAATTAATATTATGGTTTTTTATATCCCAAGTAATAAAAAAAATATTATCTACATATTAATGTAGAGTAATTTAAATTAAACAATATTTTCATTTATAAAAATTTTTAATTTTTAATAGTTTCCAAAAAGATGAGTGTTTTATTTTTAATTAATCACCCTCTATATAAATTTGATTTACACATATTTTTCATTTAATTTATGATACACTTTCATTAAAATTTATAATATGTTAAATAAGTTTTTACTATTAAAAATTATAATAATAAATATCTTTTGTTTAATATCAATTCAGGAAATATTATTAGGAATTTTTTCTGGGTGACATTTATAGAGATAAGTTACAGTGTAAATTAGGATTCAATTTTCTCAGAAATACAATGCTATCACTAAAGTATGACTTTTCAATCCTACAGAATTTAAAAAATTGTAAACTTACAGTTATTTTTTACTTATTTCATCATTTATAAATAAATATATAACAATAAAAATTATGATAAGCTAGTTTTCTAATCAGAAGTCGAAAAGAATTGTTATGACACTAACCTTAATAAGAATTCTTTGGAGGCACCGATCAGTTTTATTTTACTAGTAAATGAGATGCATCTATTATCCACAAGGTGGTGATATGCTATTCACTACACATAGTAATTTTTTTATCATTGAACATTTAATTATTCCAAAAATAAAAACAGTATTGCAACAAATTTTTTGTTTTATTTTAATTATATATATTTTTCAATTTATCAACCATGAAATAACTTTTATGTTCATTCATTATAAGGATATCAACTTCACTACTTATAATGAGAAAATAAATATATAACTACCTTATTTGAAGAAAATTAATGATCAATAACAACCAGGCTTGCTAAAGTTTTTAACAATTTTTTTAAAATTATATACTAAATAATAGTGTATTAACAGGATAAATGTTACATCTATTCTAATATCCTAAAATATATTAAAAGTAAAGGAGTAATAAATGTTTTATTTTTTAAACAATACATAATAATCATTATGAAATGTTAATTTGCAATTTATAAAATTTATCAGTGGCTTTCATAAACATCTAGTAGATTTATTGGTAATTATGGCATTATGAAAGTTCTAGCATTGACTATATATTTTTAATTAATTTCTTATTATAGGTAATTAATGTATAGATACATTAAATATCATTTTGTCCGAGATTTTTATGGATAATTTTTGAAAGTGTCTCGATTGGACAATCTAATGTTTTGCATTGTAATCTATTGTTAATTTGTTGTTTATTTACACTGAAAAAAAATTTGCTTTGAATATTGTAACCAAAATATTTTGTTAAAAGTTGATTAGTTGTCATAATTATAAAAATATTGTAGTAACTAAATTTTCAGTTATAACTTAGTGTTTTTATTGTTTACAAATGTATTCTTGTTTAACAACTTTTGTAGAAATAACAGTAGCAATTATAGCAATAAACTTTGTAGTCAATACAATCTGATTAATTTTAACTGTATTTTCAGTAACAATATATTATATGGTTTAAAATGTTCTAATTAAATTTTTTTTTACACATTAACCGTTAAAATATCTTTAAAAGTAAACAATAACAAAAAATTTCTAAGTAAAACTAATTATTTATATTATATTAAATTTTATATGATTAATTTCGTTTTACTATATTATTAATACATTGTATTAATAATATAATAATTTCATGGTAACTAAAGGAGCAGGTCGCTTAGAGTCTTAACATAAAATTAGCTTATTTTATAATTTAAACACATTAGTCTATTGATTATTATGATAACATAACATGGTTATAAACTCAAAAAAAAATTGAGTTTAATAATTTTTAAAACAGATTTATAAAACTCTAAATGTCAAAGAGTGTTTACCTGATTAAATACTAATAAATAAATAATGATGTCATATAATAATATAAATATGATTATAATATTATTTAAGTTATGTTTTTTATTCTTATTTAAAACTTTTTATAAATTATTTAAAAATCAACTACCTCTTTAAAACATTTAAAACCCATGTTATAAACATTTCGTTTAAAATATTTTGCAACCCTGATAAACACCTTTGGACCAATATTTTAGAAGTTAATATTTATACATCTAAACAAGAGGAGGAGTGGTGCCAAAAAAAATGTCTAATGATAAAAATAACTAAATACAATCCTTATCACCATCTATTACTTTAAATAGTTAATAGCTTCCAAAGTTCTAGTCCAAAAGTTATTATCAACTAGTCATTTCCTTAATTAAATCATTATCTAATTCATAAGTTATTTAAATATGCATGTTTCCTAAAAAAAAAAAAATTGATATCCTTATTAGACTTAAGGAATGAACATTACTTCATTATTGATAAATTGAGAAAAATATGAAACTAAAAGAAACTCAAACAAATCACAATAGTATTTTTAAATTAAAATTTATTAAGGGATCAACGATAAAAAAAATCATTTAGTATATATTATAAAATATGTTCTATTTTTATTTCTTTTAATAAGAGAAAAATTTTTTTATGAAATTTTTTAATTTAAACTATCTTAAAATTTTTAAAATTTATAGTAAATCAGTACTGTATTACTGTCTAGACAAACAAAGCAGATGTCTAGGGACCAAAATTTTAGAGGCTATCTTAATGCCTTATCTAGCAATTCTTTTTTCAAAATGTGAAATATTTTTTTAAATAATAAAAATTATTATAGTAAATATATATATTTTTAATAAAATATAGAAGTGGTGTATTTACTAAAAGGCACTGGGTCTAAAACCCTGTTGATACAAAATTATGGTAGAGAAGAGAGAGTGGAAGGATGAAGCTTTTTAAATAAACCACTGAAGAGGAGCTGATTTGTTAACTACCAATATTCTAAGATTCCTACTCCAGTCTTGATATATATTTATTAATAAAACCATTTAAAATGATGATTGATTCAAAGCAATTTACAATTTCTAATATATTAAAATAGTTAAAGATGAAAATTCTTATTATGAAATCAGTGTTACAATCACAATAATAGGTACTTTAAGTTTTAAATTTACTTTTATTGTTACATTATTTACCTTTAAGTTGTGACAGTAAAGTTTCCCAATATCCTATATCAACACCTTCTGCTTTACTGTTAATTTTATTTTCTATTTGTGTTTTTAATTGATCAAGTTGTTCTGCATTTTTTCCCTTAAAAATCTGGGCTACTTCATTTGAAACTGATTGATGTATTCCTTCCCTGCGTCCAACAACTGAAATTTTAAAAATTGATTCAAAAAAGGCTAAAAATTTCTTCTAGTAATAATAATTGTAGTATAAATGATTCTTTTTATTAAGATGATATATTAATGAAAAAAATTCTTTAATTATTCCTTTGTAAATATTGTAACCAAAGAAATAAACCCATTGAATATTTTTTTTTAAACATATATTTAATTTTTTAACCACTAAATTGCCCAGTAAGAGATCCTCAAGAATCACGAGTATGACAACATCATGGATCCTAGTCACTCAGAAACATGTACCATTGACTATATAGTCAATTATTGCCAACCTTGGAACTGGTAAACAAACCAGCTTTTTAACCAATGGCAATGTATACATCATAGAGTAAATAGCTTTACCACAGTACAAAGCACTGCTGTATTGGATCTTTTTAGATTTTTTCAAATTGAAACATCATAAGGGATAATCTTATGAAAATCAGGGATATATTTAAGGAAAACCTATTAGAACAACATTAAAAACAGTGAGGCTTCATAGAAAATCATGAGATAAATAAAATCTTAATGCTAGGAATGATAGGCATAGATACAAGGGAAAGGCATGGGAGCAATAGCTTCCAAAAATAGAATTATTTTCTAAAGAGGTCTTCTTTTTAAAAAATAACTCTTACTTTAACAAAAATAGTAAAATGCTCCCTCTTCCAAAAAAAAAATTTCTATGCTTGAGAAGTAAGACATCATTGTAGTAGTAGGACACTAATGATGAATCACACTAACAGTGGAACACTTCATACTAAATTATAAATTAGCAAAATTATGAAAGATAATTCAATAAGCAGAACACAGGAGTCATAAGACTAACTGTTATTGTTGATGTACCATGACAATAATGAAATATTAATAATTAAACCACACTAACTATGAAATATTTTATGGTGAATTGTCAATTAGATCATGGTATATGCATTTTCAACTGTTAGATTAGGAGTTAAATAACCAACTGGAATAAAACATTACATTTAAGTGAAATAACAATATTTATTATAAAATTTAATGTGGGGTGCGCACAATGGACCATAAGGTCTAAGTACATGTATAATGTTTATACCCACCCTTCTAATAACTAAAACTAACCACAAAACTGAATTTATATTAAAGATTCAACATTTATTGTATAACATAAAGAATATAACTCAATCAATAAATGACATATTCTTTTTTTTATCTTCTTCTTCTTCCTCGCCTTAATCCCAACTACTTGGGGTCGGCCACCCTTATCACAAACTTCCACTTGACACGATCTCCCACATCATCTACGCTCTCATCAGCTGTCCTCATATTGCATTCAATTAGATCTCTTTTTTGGTCTTCCTCTATCTTTTTTTCCTTCAACATTCATTTCTATAACTGTTCTTACAGCTTCCGATTCTTCTCTCCTCATAACATGACCAAACCATCTAAGTCTATTTTCTCTCATCTTATCCACGATTGACGCTTCACCTATACTCCCTCTTATATGCTCGTTTCTTATTTTATCTTTTTTAGTCACTTCACTTATCCATCTAAGCATTCTCATCTCTGCTACACTCATTCTCTGCTCTACTTTCTTATCAACCGCCCAATACTCTGAACCATACATCATAGCTGGCCTTATTACAGTCTTATAGAATTTATCTTTCAACCTCATTAGAATTCTTTTATCGCATAAGACTCCAGACACTTCTCTCAACTTCAACCACTCGCACTTAATTCTGTATCTTACATCCTCGTCAATACCACCACTCTTTTGTACAACTAACCCTAAATACTTAAAACTCTCCACCTCTTCAATTACGTCCTCGCCTATTGTTACTGACCTCCTCATTTCACCTACCTCGTGTTTTCCTTTGTCAAACTCGTACTCTACATACATCTCGCACTCCTACTCTTACCCGAAAACCTTCTGTTACTCCTCCCACACTTTTTACCCTAGTACAAGTGACATCAAACATATCCTCTATTATATTAATGTACCTCTTAATATAATAGGTTTAAATTAATTAATATTAATTACAAATATAGCTATTAGTTACATTACTTGTGTGTACTTGCTTTGATAAGATATTTATCATTTTATAGTTTAATAATTTAAAAAAATCTGTATACAAATAATTTAATTTTAAATACACACCAGTATAAGCGGATTCTGTTTGTTTTTTTCTCATTTTGTGTAATTCATCTTCAACTATAACAGTAATATCATTCCAATATTCAAAATTTTTTCCTTTTTCAAGTTCCATATAAACTTTAATATCTTCCACAAGATCTTCTAGATCTTTAAGTCTCAATCCATTTAAATAAAAATATGGTTCATACATTTCTGCAGTATCTATATCATCTTCATTACTCACATATTTAGCAAGGAGATCAATAGGTTTAGCTGAAATAAAAATAGTATTTTTAAATTAATAATTTTTAAAAATTAATGATAAATTGACTTATTTCTAATGAACTTTCTCCATTAAAGTAATAATGTGTCATAAAAGGCGATTCTTTTAATGCTAAAAGAATCACTCTGTATACACACCTCTACCATCTTGAATTCGAATTGTAGATCGTAAACGAGCTTGTTCTAAATGAAACTGATCTTCATTTTTTTCCCATTCTTTGAATTGGGCTGCTTCTTTACTTCTTTGCAATAAAGCCATTTCTTCTTCCCTTTGTTGTCTTTCCATTTCTCTTTCCATTCGTGATTTTTTTACTTTTTCTAATTCCCGTTTATTTTCTTCCATTTTTATTCTATTTCTTGCCTCTAATTCTTCTTGACTAACACCTAATAATCCATCCTTGGCTAGTTTTTTATCCCATACAAATGTAGATAGCAAATTTCCATCTCCAAAAGGATTATCTGCATTTGTATAGTGTAAATAATCATTGTCCCATCCCATTAACTCTTTTCTTTTCCTTTCTTTAGCTTCTTTTTTCCTTAAACGTCTATACCTTTTTTCTTCCGGTGTTTCCATTGCTTTTAACAATTCTTTTTGCTGGTTTCTTTCTTCTAATAACTTCATTCTTTCTTGCTTTAAACGTTGTAATAATTTAGCCTCATTGGAAGTCGAGTCAGATGATGATGATTCACTTGAAGATGACCTGAATATAAAAAAAAGTGGTTAAATTAATAACAAATAAATTATTTACTATTTATTATAACATTAAATTATTTGCTATTTCAATTTTAGCATAATATTGCTAAAAGATATATTATAAAAGCTGTTTAAAAAGTAAAGAAAGAGGTCAATTTTTTTGAATGAGAACATTAGACATTTTTCTCCTTACTTATTGAATAGCCTATATATTTATTACATGGATAAATTGAACCTTAATAGGTAAAAGAGCTGAAGAAACAGTTCTGGCCAAAATGAAATATTAATACTTAAATATTCCAAAAAGTCCAAATATTCCAAAAATGAATAGATCAGTTCAACAATCGTCTACACTATTATTCATTAAAAACCAGTATGGATGCAATTTAAAGTAAAATACATAAAACTTTAAAAATTATGGAGTCTATTTAATTTTTTAATTTTTAAGAATTAAAGAAGTAAGTTGAGTACTATGGTATTGTATATACAATTTGTTGATTCTGAAATACTTAAATGCTTCATAACATATTTGGTTTTTAAATACCATTGTTTTATTTAAATATTAATAATACTATTTATAAAAACTATTATTTTATATAAAGTTACAAAATAATCTACACAGAATTTTTACATTGATTACAGATTTGTAATCAAATTAGAAATCTTCAAGCTTGATTTTTGAAATAACCCCTAGTTAAGTAAAATTTAAATATTTTTTAAAAGATTAAAAGTAATTTATAAAACTTACTCAAAGAATGTTTAAACATTTTATTTTTACCTTGTTTTTTTCTTATGTTTTGATTTTTTTTTAGATGAATGCTTGTGTTTTTTCAATTTATGACGTATATTTTTACTGTCATCAGTATTATTTCTATCTTTAGATCTTGATTCCCATTTAAATAATTTGGACGATGATGACCTAGAAAATTTAATTATATTTAAAAACAAAATAATATTCCATTAAAAATTGAATTAAAGTTTTTCTCAATTGCTCAAAGAAAGAACTTAAATTTAATAAAAACAATTAGACTTACATTGTAATTTCTTTTTTCAAATTTTTATGATTAAAATTAATAACTATATCATTATTAACTATATGATCTTATCAATCACGATAACTGCTATAAATCATGGAATAAACAGCAAATTAAAAAATTTCATTGATATTAAAAATAAGCTATTCTTAAATTTTTATTACCCATAATTTTAATCTTTTGTTAAAATTTTCAATATTAATATACTGTCATTTGTGTTTTTACTTAATTTTTTAATTATTTTTAAATAACATAACCTAAATATGTTATATATTGGTTGAAGTTTAGTATTTGAATATGATATTGTTTGTGGTGGGGATGGAATTATCATGACTGCAACGTGTCATGGCGACCGGGTGTAGCGGTGGGGTGGAGTTGTTAGAGGAGCGGTGTTTGAGAGGCCCACGAACTCAACGGAACGTTGGTCCTTTCTGTTGCAACGTCGGCTTTACGACACTCGTGCAACATCAATTTTTTTCAACTAGAATTTTATCCGAAAACATCCAAAAATGGTGAGTATCAATATTGTTTTTATTTAACTATTCATGTTTAGCGTCTTCAATTTTACCTAAGTTTACTCTTTTTACCTCAATACATTGATGAAAAACAAGTTTCGTTAAGTAAATGCGATTGCATTCTATTGTGTTCCTGATGAATAAATGTAAAATTAATAGACTTCATAGTTTCGATTTTCCTTGTTTTTTGCAAGAATTTCAATGTTATTATATTATTAATTATGACGATAAAGTACTATAATTTTGTTTTTTCGCTGCTAAAAAGGGTTTTCCAAATAGCATCTCTATGGTATTGTAATCATATGCAACGGAGATTGTAGGATTTGTAATATTAAAATGATGTGGNGGCTAAAACTTTAAGGGTTTTCCAAATAGCATCTCTATGGTATTGTAATCATATGCAACGGAGATTGTAGGATTTGTAATATTAAAATGATGTGGTTTCTGTTAAATTCTATAAAAAAAATTATAAGGCATGTTCTTTTCTAGTTGAAGAATAACATATTTGAAAAAATTAATCGTTCTCTTTTACTTCTTATGTGTAATTAATAATTATTTAATTTTAATTATTATTTCATTGTGTATATTAACAGTCAACCTATAATTAAAAATAATGTAGTAAGGAAATTGATGTGTTGGCGTTTTTTTATGAAATGTTTGTATGCTTATTTTTCCAAATCTTGCAAAACGCTAAATTTGGAATGTACTTATTCATTTATAAGAATTTTTTAAATTTTAATTATAGTGGTTTTACTATAAATTTTTTTGTATGATGATATCTGCAATTACCTGACACAATTGTGGAGGTAAAAACTGATTTAATGAGTCTGACAATTAACATTACATCCAAGAAATTATTAATATGTACATTTTAAGAATTATTAATCATAAATTGATTTGTTAATACATTTTTTTGGTATTAAGGTGAACTTCACTGTAGATGAAATTCGTGGCATGATGGACAAGAAACGGAATATCCGTAACATGTCTGTCATTGCTCATGTAGATCATGGAAAGTCAACTTTAACTGATTCTTTGGTATCCAAAGCTGGTATTATTGCTAGTGCTAAAGCAGGTGACATGCGTTTTACTGATACTCGTAAAGATGAACAAGATCGTTGTATTACTATCAAGTCAACTGCCATTTCAATGTACTTTGAATTAGGAGAAAAAGATTTAGTTTTCATTAAAAATCCTGACCAACGTGATCCATCAGAAAAAGGATTCTTAATCAACTTAATTGATTCTCCTGGACACGTTGACTTTTCCAGTGAAGTTACTGCTGCTCTCCGAGTTACGGATGGAGCATTAGTTGTTGTTGATTGTGTATCTGGTGAGTTCTAAGATATTACATTTAAACATGCAAGTTGAAATGTTAATATCATTTATTACGTTTAGGTGTATGTGTACAAACTGAAACTGTATTACGTCAAGCTATTGCAGAAAGAATTAAGCCCATCTTATTCATGAACAAGATGGACCGTGCACTTTTAGAACTGCAGTTGGAATCTGAAGATTTATACCAAACTTTCCAACGTATTGTTGAAAATGTCAATATTATCATTGCTACTTATTCTGATGACAGTGGTCCCATGGGTGAAGTACAGGTAATTTCCACTATTTCAAAATCTATGAATTTTTATCATTTACAAATTCAGTCTTAATGATGGACAAAGTTTTCATTACTGATATTTCTATGATATATATTATCTCCCTTCTCCACGTCTGAAAGATTGAATTATTTAATGATTTCCTACTAAACCTTGTAATATTATTTATAAAATATTAATAAAAAAAATTTAGGTAGATCCTAGCAAAGGAAGTGTTGGTTTTGGATCTGGTTTACATGGATGGGCATTTACATTGAAACAGTTTGCTGAAATGTATGCTGAAAAATTCAAAATTGATGTAGTGAAACTCATGAACAGGTTAGTTATTCAACTTTTATGTGAAATAAATTTATAGCATTAAAGAGAGTATTAAAATAATTTTTTTTTATTCCTTAACCAAGATTGTGGGGTGAAAACTTCTTTAACCCAAAAACAAAGAAGTGGGCCAAACAAAAGGATGATGCTAACCAACGTTCATTTTGTATGTATATTTTGGATCCAATTTACAAAGTGAGTACCATCTAGACTGTTTTGATTTTATTAGTAAATACATATGAATTTGTATTTTGTTTATCCAGATTTTGATAACATGTGAAATGTAAAAATTATGTGTTATCAAATATTTCCATTAAAAAAATTATATACACAGTGATTCTTTTATTATTCACTTCTTAATTATTTGATGTATCAAAATAATGATTGATTTTATTTTAGGAGGTTTTTAGCTACATGTTTTTTTCTAATTTTTAATTATTAAAGTAGTTTTTAAATGGTATTATATACATACAAAGTGATTAGTTTAATTTAAACCACTTTATTACTCTCAAAATGAATAAGATATTGAAAAATGTTTGATTCTTTTTAATTATAAATAATTTCGATTTAACTTTTTAGAATTATCACTTATAATTTGTTGTGATTTCAACTTTATTTTTTCAAATGGAAACAAAATTAACTAGCTTATTTAATAGATGGCGATTTAGAAAATGACTATTCAATATCAATTTTTGGATTATTATTTTGTAAGTTATTACCTGTTTATAATTATGGCCAGACATATATATATATTTTTTTACTTTCTATTTCTTGGCCCTTTTCTCTTGTTTAGGTATAAAAATGTGAAAATTTTCTAAAGTACTGGTCCAAAAGATGTTATCATTATTTTCTTAATTATATCATTTTCTATTTTATAAACTAATTTAATATATGTGTTGCTATATAAATATAAAATATATATATGTAATTAAAAAAAAAAAAAAAACCCCAAACTTTTTTTCAATATTATATTTATTTTGTAAGTAATCAAGTAGTTTATAATAAACTGATCTTACTGCATATAACTTAGTTATTAGATAACATCTTAATTAAGAGAAAATGACTAATTGTTAACTCATTAAACCACTATTTCAGAATTTGATGCTAATTTAAAGTAATAGCTGAAAGTGAAGTTAGGTTTTGTAAATTTTATTTTAAGACATTCATTCTACGTCTATGTATTTAAATGTTAATAATTGTTTAAGTAAATTTTGGTTTAAAAATTGTTATTGACCTGTCATTTTCTTAATATAAATATAAATAAGCTTACTAATTAAATGTCAAAAGTGTCTGTTCCGTGTGCCAAAAAGAAAATTCTTGATTTATATTTTATGTGGTGATTATAGCTTCAATTCTGTATATGTTAGTTACAAAGATTTGATTGCTTTAAATATTTTACGAGAAGAATAACTTTTTTTTTTTAAATACACACATCTATTTTAATGGTCATTTTAAATTATGTTACCTATTATTATTATTTATTTTGAACATGGAATATTTGGCATTTTCGTTTCATAAGTGTTGCAATTTTAAAAATTGAAATTGACATCACCCCTATAAGACAAAAGGTATGATCCAAAAAAAAATTTCTTAATTTTAATATAGTGGTCAATTATAATGTGATAACTGTATATTTTTTTCCCTCTACTTATGTGTTTTAAATAGTTTAAAAAATATTTGGTTATTTCTTTTAAACTTGAATTGTCTATTACTATATTTATTATTTATCTTGTCAGTTAAATTTGCTTAAGTATATGAGAATATTTTATTGTAAATATATATATTACATAGACAGTGATGATTTTCTAGCACACCAATGCTCCTGATAAATTATTGATGAAATTTTTAAGAACGGCCGTCTGAGTCTATGGTTTTACAATAAATTGAATATTCTTATCTTATAAGTGTTACAAAAATTAATTTTTTTATGTTAATGATGATGTTCTTGCACACCAAAGCACCTGAGATATTTTATGAAGATATCTTAAGAACGGCCGTCTGAAAATAAACCTTCTATGATAAAAAAATTTGTTTATATTAATATATTTTTCAATGATACTGCAGAAAAAAAATTGTCAATTGTAAGGTTGATTGGTCATTTTTCTCTATTGTATTTAGTTTGGGAATATTTGAAATTATATTTATGATATGATATGCAAACTTTGTATGATCTTGAAATTTTTCTGATACAGGGGAACTGAGATCATATTTGGATTTGATGATTTAGAAATTATACCCTCCAACCTTATGACTGATACTTTTTTTGATGTTTCACAATATAAACACCAAGTAAATATTTCTATAATTAGTATCACAAACCTATGATGAATTTAATCACAGACCTGTTCTGATTATATTTTGAAGCAATCCTTTTAAATAATCTGATGGTTTAAAGTTAAATAACAACAAATTATATTTGTACCATATACAAAAAAAAATTGTATATGATACTCTCAACATACTCTAAAATAAATAAAATTACTATACTTTTTTTAAATTACTATAGTATATATACTACTGTTATTTTTTAATATTTTTACTAAAAAAAATTTTGACAGGTATTCAACTCTATTATGAACTACAAAAAAGAAGAGGCTACGGATCTTTTGAAAAAACTTGGAATTGAATTAAAACATGAAGATCAAGATAAGGATGGAAAAGCTTTATTAAAGGTTATTATAATTTCGAACTATAATAATTCTATTTTAATTTCAATTATATTTTCATATTACAATGATGATGCAATATTACTCAGGAAATATATCCATGTTGATATTATTTTTAACCCTTCTCCATCTGAGTTATGCTAGATATAATTAAAGCTATTATTATTTTTTTATTTTTTCTTAGCCTTTTTATTTATTTGTAGGTAGTTATGCGTACTTGGTTACCAGCTGGAGAAGCTTTACTTCAAATGATAGCCATTCACTTACCATCTCCTGTTGTTGCTCAAAAATATCGTATGGAAATGTTGTATGAAGGACCTCATGATGATGAAGCAGCTCTTGGTGTTAAGGTGAGACCATATATACATTGTGTGTATTATTAAATTTTAATGTAATTATATGATAATTTCTTAGAACTGTGATCCTGATGCACCACTCATGATGTACATTTCTAAAATGGTACCGACATCTGACAAAGGACGTTTCTATGCTTTTGGTCGTGTATTTTCTGGCAAAGTTAGTATTTATATTATTTATGGAAATTTAATGTACAACTTGAAATTAAATGTAATAATTACATTTAATTTTGATAATATTTAGTTCTAATCTATATCATTATACTATAATTAATATTTATGAGATAATTTTAATTATTAAGTATTCATAATTTCTCAATTAAATTTTCATTAAAAAAAAATACTTCTAGATAACATTAAAATAATGTTAATTTAAGAATTTATGTTTAAGGTAGCTACTGGTATGAAAGCTCGTATCATGGGGCCTAATTACACTCCAGGAAAGAAAGAAGATCTATATGAGAAAGCTATTCAAAGAACTATTTTGATGATGGGTCGTTATACTGAAGCTATTGAAGATGTTCCCAGTGGAAACATTTGTGGATTGGTTGGAGTTGATCAGTTTTTGGTAAAAACTGGGACTATCACTACCTTTAAAGATGCTCACAACATGAAAGTTATGAAATTCAGTGTATCACCTGTAGTACGTGTTGCTGTTGAACCTAAAAATCCTGCTGATCTTCCAAAATTGGTTGAAGGACTTAAGCGTTTGGCCAAATCTGATCCTATGGTTCAGTGTATTATTGAAGAATCTGGTGAACATATAGTTGCTGGTGCAGGAGAACTTCATTTGGAAATTTGTCTTAAAGATTTAGAAGAAGATCATGCTTGCATCCCTATCAAAAAATCTGATCCTGTGGTTTCCTACCGAGAAACTGTCAGTGAAGAATCTAATATTACATGCTTATCAAAATCGCCTAATAAACATAACAGACTGTTCATGAGATGTCAACCATTCCCTGATGGTTTAGCTGAAGACATAGAAGGCGTAAGTGTTATTAAATCCAATTTAAGATTTTATTCTTAAAATTTGTGCTTGATTTTAGGGACAAGTTAACCCAAGAGATGAATTTAAAGCTCGTGCTAGATACTTAGGTGAAAAATACGAATACGATGTCACTGAAGCTCGTAAAATTTGGGCTTTTGGACCTGATGGAACTGGTCCCAATTTGTTGATAGATTGCACCAAAGGAGTTCAGTATTTGAATGAAATCAAAGATTCAGTTGTTGCTGGTTTCCAATGGGCAACTAAAGAAGTATATATTTTAGTTTTTAATAAAATATTTTTTTTACTATGATGATACTTAATTATATCTTTCGCGGTTTCCACCAGATGGCCTTTGTTGGCCTCATGATGGCTGAAAGTGTCTGATTTTATTATTTAATAACATATTATTAGTAACTAATTTATCATGATGATACATTGTCATATCTTTCGCGGTTTCCACCAGATGGCCTTTGTTGGCCTCATGATGGCTGAAAGTGTCTGATTTTATTATTTAATAACATATTATTAGTAACTAATTTATCATGATGATACATTGTCATATCTTTCGCGGTTTCCACCAGATGGCCTTTGTTGGCCTCATGATGGCTGAAAGTGTCTGATTTTATTATTTAATAACCCATTATTAGTAACTAAATGATCATGATGATACATTGTCATATCTTTCGCGGTTTCCACCAGATGGCCTTTGTTGGTCTTATGATGGCTGAAAGTGTCTGATTTTATTATTTAATAACCCATTATTAGTAACTAAATGATCATGATGATACATTGTCATATCTTTCGCGGTTTCCACCAGATGGCCTTAGTTGGTCTTATGATGGTTGAAAGTGTCTGATTTTATTATTTAATAACCCATTATTAGTAACTAAATGATCATGATGATATATTGTCATATCTTTCGCGGTTTCCACCAGATGGCCTTTGTTGGTCTTATGATGGCTGAAAGTGTCTGATTTTATTATTTAATAACCCATTATTAGTAACTAAATGATCATGATATGATACATTGTCATATCTTTCGCGGTTTCCACCAGATGGCCTTTGTTGGCCTCATGATGGCTGAAAGTGTCTGATTTTATTATTTAATAACATTATTAGTAACTTATTTATCATGATGATACATTGTCATATCTTTCGCGGTTTCCACCAGATGGTACTACCAGTGATGGCTGGAAGTGTCTGAAAAATCTCGAATTAATTAATTAATCCATAATTAAATTTTATTTCTCATAAATTTTCTTTGATTTTATTTGATATTAAGTAAGTTTTGTTTGGAGTTTTTGAATTTATCTTAAAATTATTATTTTTTAGGGAGTTTTGGCTGAAGAAAACATGCGTGGTGTCAGATTCAATATTCATGATGTCACATTGCACGCTGATGCTATTCACAGAGGAGGTGGTCAAATCATTCCAACAGCACGCCGTTGCATGTATGCTTGTATTTTATCTGCTTGCCCTAGGATCATGGAACCTGTATATCTTTGTGAAATTCAGGTCAGTAATTATATCATAACTTTCAATGTGTAGTTTAATCATATATATTTATTATTATTTGTGTAGTGTCCTGAAGTTGCAGTTGGTGGAATTTATAGTGTTTTAAACAGACGTAGAGGACATGTATTTGAAGAAAGTCAAGTTGTTGGTACACCCATGTTTGTTGTTAAAGCCTATTTGCCTGTCAATGAATCTTTCGGTAGGTCAATTTTAAATATTATAAAAAACCACTATTTGCCTCTTTTACTTCGTCAAACTGAAGTGATAGATTTCCTTGTGTGGTCAAAGAAAACTGAAGATATATGTCGCTATATTTATCAGATTTTTATCTGATACAATACACTCATACTATTACAGTTTCCATGATAAATATACTCTTTTATAAAAGTAAATATTTATATATACTTTTTTCCAAACCACTATTTGCCTCTTTTACATTCATTTAATAAAGTGAAAGACTTTCCCTCAGTGGTAATATTAAATAAAAGGTATATGTCGCTATGTTTATCAAGTTTTTATTTGGTACAATACACACATATTACCATATCAGTATTATCTAGATATCTTTTTATTTTTATATCCTTCCAGCATAAATGAATCACTCTGTAGTTTATAAGTGAATTTTTATTCACTTGTGAATAGAGACAGTGTTGAAAGTGCATATGGAAGAAAATTAAATTTTACCGAGCTTTTCAGTACGCTGTTGTAGGACCTCTATCTTTATGTCCAGTAGCAATATGTTTTGATAAGCTGGAACAACCTATTACTTGAAGTGAAAATTTCAACGTTTATATTGGTGACCTACCTAGCTTAGTTAGTAATGCATTGATATTGAAGTTCAATTCTATTACACTGTGTAGGTTATGTAGATTTTTCCATTCTCTGACAAAAATAATAATTTTTAAAAGAGGCTATTCATGTAAAATTTAAAATTTACTAAATCAAACATTATTTATCAAGATTTGAATTAGTCAGACTAGTAACTTAAAGTGATTAACTATTTTTAGGATTCACTGCCGATTTACGTAGTAATACTGGTGGACAAGCTTTCCCTCAATGTGTGTTCGACCATTGGCAAGTTTTCCCTGGTGACCCATGTGAAGCTGGATCTAAACCATATGTTGTTGTTATGGTAATTTATTTATTTAACAGCAATTTACAAGAAATAACATAATACATAGCCCATATTATTATTTTATTAATACTACTCTTTGTTAATTAGGATACGCGTAAACGTAAGGGTCTCAAAGAAGGATTACCAGACATCAATTCATACTTGGACAAAATGTAAACATGATGTTAACTCAACAATTACTACATTTTTTTTTTTTTTATGATTATTTTATTGTTACACACAATAGTACCGAGAATTTGATGTATTTATTTATTTCCGTTTATAAATATTATTTTTGGTCTTAAATTTGAACAACACTTGTTATGACTGTTAAAACAAAATTTATCTTTTGTATGAAGAAATCAGTATGATTGATTTATATTTTCTCTTTCTAAAATATTCAATAGTTATGTATGTTATAAATTTGAATTAGTTATCATATTTAAGTTAATATTATCTTAACAACAACATTGCTCCATAACATTCATTGAGCTAATATTATGTGCAACATGAAAGAATAAAGTCTGGTATAATGTGCGTGACACTAATGTACCTAATACATTTGTCTAAAACTATTTTTTTTATTTCTTACTTTTAATTTATATTATCAAATGCAATATAAATATTGATACTTTAGGTTCTGTATAGTACATGATAAGTTGCAGCAGCAATATACAATAGCATAAATACCAAAACTGGACAGTTGAGATTTTTTTACTACATTGTTTTAATAATATGTTATAAATAACTACACATAAGTTCATTCAATTTTAAAAATGGCAAATAAGAATTCTTTGCTTTACTAAAAGTAATACGCATAATCTAGAGATTATTACAAAAATTATATTATAACATTTACGTTACATGGATATGATAGTTGAAAAGAAAAATTGTATTTTAAAGTTGTCCGTTAATACTATTCCATCTGAATATATCGTTGAACGTTTCACGATCTTGCTTCTCTTTTAATCTAAGTATAATAACGTTTATAACTTAAAAATAGTCGAGGAAAATCAATCCAGTGAGAACAAAGAAATGGTGGCCACAGACTTAAAAAAACAAACAGTAAAATCAATGACTTGCAAGTTCGTTTCAAAGTCAAAAAACTAATTTGCTTAATTCTGTTTTTCTGGATAAAACTTGATCTATATATTGCACTATGATTACAAGAGTATTATACATCAAAATATATAATATTTGAAATATTGATTAAGTTCAATAATTTATTTGAGTAGTTCAAAACATAATTCACATCACGAACTTTTCTTTAAAAGAGCTATAAAAATCAAACAAAAAAATGTTTTATGTATACAAGATTATAAGTTTTTTTTTTTAGTTATATATTTTTCTATTTATTAGCTATTAATTACTTTTTATAATCGTCCCTTATAACTTATAGGGGTATCATAGGGTATTTTTACTATGTGTTTATTTACTTTTTTGTGTCCATGAATACTTTTTCTCAGCTCTTACAGGACTGATTTCACTTAAAGATACGTCAAAAGATCACAATTTCTATTAAGATTAAAGTAACATTACTATTGAAATTTAAATAATATTTTCTTATTCCCAGTAAATGAGGGAAATCCTAAATAAATTATGATTTTAAAAGTCTTAAAACTTAGTTTTTTTTTTACATAAATTATTGTAACTTTTTGAAATTTAAATTTCTTTTTAAAGGACATCTTAAATATACCCCCTTAATAGAGCTTATTTTTTTGAAAATTCGACCCTTTACCATTCTACAAAGGTGAATCAAAATAATATATTTTGCATAAGAAGCTGACTTTTGATAATGTTTAGGAAATACTTCATATTTTAAACATATATTAAATTAAAGTCATTGTAACTTTAGTTCATACAATTTACTACAAATTAAAAAAAATTGAACTAATTATACTGATTTTAATTTTTTAGTTATCTAGTATGAGTATGTATAAATTAGACTTGTTCTATAAACAACAATTTAAGTCCATCACGGATGTCTTTAAAAGACGTTATAATGATTTACTTTTACAATTTATGGAAAAAACAAAACTTGGTAAGAATATACTCCGCGCGAGTAAACGATGCAATACGGAGGGTCACTATGGAAACCCTAGTAACTGATAAAAACGCCGTTTTAAATCATTACCATCAATTTCATAACAATACTGTAGATAAGATTTCATCTAACTAATAATTATTCTTAATAAACATCAAATAATCGAATAAATCGTGTATTTTTACTAAAAACATAAATTTTAATTACCGTTATTAATGATAAATATCGAATCATGATGATTCAAGTAATTGAAAGGTCGATCATTTTTTAATTTCTAAATTTTCTTATACCAGTATTTTTCGATATATTGAATACCTCCAACTCTATTTAAAATTTTCCTCATAAATATTCTGAACCTACGCTCCTGGGTAATGGACTAAGTCTTATTTACTATATTCATTATTTTTAAAATTATTTTGTACACTTTTAAATACAAAATAATTAAATAAGCTTAATTATACAACCATTTGAATAAAAATAAATAATGCAATTGTTAAAATATCTTGTATAATAATTTATTTAGCTTTGTTAACTTCTTGAAAATTTTTTCGATCATTGATCATATTTTTTATTTTTATCGAAAAAAATTCGAATGACTATGTCAAAATTTTCCTTACCAATACTCATTTTTTAAATAAATACATTTTTTAATATTACAACTCTTTAAAAACTAATTATAGTAGGTTCATATACGTTTGATGGTAAAAGTTCTTAACACATATAATAAAATGCTTAACCTTTAAAAATTAAAAAATCAAATTTACACAAATATGTATTTATAGAGAGGGTAATAAAAAAATGTATTCGCTAAAAAGACATTACACTACCCAACGCTTATGAATAGTATCCATGACTATCTTGGAACCGCCGTTATATTTTAACGGGATTAAATAAAATTATAGTTTAAGTATTATTTTTCATTTTATAGTTGAACCTTTGCAGCTTCGTTGGTGCACTTCTAGACGATTTGGATCAAAAGTCCTCTGACATCTGTCACATGGAACCAACTGAGATAAATATGTCTTCCAATACTCTTCTCTTGTTGCTTCTTGATCCACACTACCCGTTTCTGTAAAAATAAATTTCATAGAATAACCTTGAAGCACATAGATATGACACATTAACAGTATGATATAACTAATTTATATAAGTTACTAGTATCTATATAAGATAAATATTAGATAGTATCTAGTATATAACTAGAGCTGTAAAATTTCCAAAAATTTAATACTAGAGAATTCACAACCTTCTGAAAAGTTGAACATTTTCATTTAAAAGCTTTTATTTTACTAAATTCTTTTTTTAATCAGCTCTAAATTTAATTTGATAAAGTTATGGATTATTTCATATACAGGCGGAATAGATATAACAACTTATAACTTTATAGTAAATTTCATTGTATTTTTTTTTTTTTTAACAATTTTTGGATTCTTAAACTACGTGAAAAGCATTCTTTTATTTGTTTTTAATAATAAATAAAATGTTTTTTTTTAATTTTACAATTATTTAGAGCTTTTATTATAAAAAAATTTGATGAATTGATAACAATTTTTCAGTAAATTCGTGTTGAGTTACAATCATTTTAATACATACAGTGAGTATGTAGCACATGTGGATACAACTTGTGTTTGTGTATATTAATAAAACATCCTTCACATACTTAAAATACATACCCTATTGATTTTGATATTTAAATATGCTATAAGCAATTCAAATACCGTTCATTTATAGGGTATTTACAATTTGCTTTAACTAAGATTTAATCTAGTTGATTTGTTTTTATTTTATATCGCTAAAAGTATTATAATTTTAGATATTATGAAATTATTAATTTTATGTTTAAAATTAGAATTTTATTTGCAATGAAAAATGTGTTATTTAATTTTAGGTTTAATAAATATTTAATTGTTGGATGATTAGACAAGTTACCCTATTTATATTTTCTTTAATGGAATCTATTTAAAGTACCTTTATTTTGATATAAATGAATAAAAGCATATTTAAGCTATAAATAAATATATTTAACACATTTTTTTAATTTGAATAACTTATTTCATGATTTTTAATGTATATTATATTAAATTAGACTATTACCGTTTTTACTCTGTACACTTCAAATAATACTACGGGTGAACTATTATCAATTTACTATGAAAACTTTTTTTTATAGAAAATTCTAATAATTGAAGAAATTTCCATTTGAATCAAGTAAAAGTTATATTCTATTGTACCCAAATAGGATAAATTATAACTTTAAATAAATTTGATTCGTTATTAAGAATATTGGTACCATTGTATTTCCGCCGGTCCCTACTAGACCCTAGTCCTAATAATATATTGTTTAGATACCTGAATTAACAACAACTTCTGGTTTAATAGGTACTGGTCTCCTTAAATGTGATGGCAAATTATCATTTTCTCGAATCCACTTGATTAAACACTGTGGTTCGTGTATTCCAATTGATGCAGAACCAAATAGTCGACCACAAACATAACAAGGCTGTGGTTTCTTTTTGGGTTTCTTATCCATAGCTGACGATATATTGAGCTAAATCATAGTCGTAAAAACAATCAATTCACAGTGTGTCTTTATGCAATATTTTATGGCTGTGAATTACAATAGAAAGAGCTTTTTTTTTTTTTAAACATGCACTTTTATACAAATCTAATACGTCGTATGTAACGAGTTTTATAAACGAAATAAAATACATTTTATAGAATAATATTTAGTTCTACGATTCATGTCAAGGAGTATAGTAAAAAAAACTATTTTGATTGATGAGTAAACTTCGAGGGTACCTACCGACTATACTTAAAAAATCTTTTATTAAAACCAGTATAGTAATATCAATTCAGATGAATTGTTACAATTGTTTGAAATACAATGTTAGCATATGACGACATTGATTTTTACCCATGCCTTTTATAGTTCATAATCGCCAGCCAACTTTATTTATAAGACAATAAATACTTCTTTTTTATAATTTACTGGTAATTGTATTGTTGATGCGACTCATTTATATAAATGCAGTTTAAAACTTAACCGCAATGAATTTACTCATTTAAAAGCTACGTAGACATAAGCCCTATTATTGTTTTTTAACTTTATAATTAATAAGACTTGGAATGAGTATAACTTATTAAAAATGATATGGGTTTGCAGTAGTTATTATTATTAACTTTAAATAAATTTACTTATTCAAAACATTTAATTAAAAATAAATTACGTATTACAGTCCAAAAAATTAGTTCAATAAGAAATAATAATTTTTTTTCTTAAAATTTACGAAAAAAAAATTAATAGCATAGAAATATAAAACATATCTAGGTAACTTCTTTTTTGTAATGATTAAAAAATTGTTATAGTTAAGTAGAAACACATTTTCTATAATTATTGAACTATTTGAAATGAAATAAATTAAAGTGTCAAAGTTCTACCCTGGTATTTTTCAAAGAGTTTCATAAATCTAAATATTGGAATAAATGTTTATAAAGAGAGTTCAGTAAGTAAGAAAACGGGTTTCTATTGTTCTCATTGTTGTATAACAATTGTCTTGTTTCCTCACTTTCTGAACATACTATATATATTAATACCATAATATATTCATGAATCCTATTATAGCTTCTTTACTTAAATACTTGACTAAATGACTTTACGTCCCACTCTAATTAGACTGTATAACTTAATAAAATAAAATATATTTATTTACTTTTTACTTACTGTTGGAGACATATATTTTTTCTTGGCTTCAATACAAACTCTGGTATGAGCATCCAGTCTATTTGCTAGGAACTTACGTTGGCAAAAATTACATGGCACTAAATTTGACTAAAATAATTGAGTAAACTATTAGACATTATATTTGTATTTAAATTTATTTAATCAATTATGCGAGTTGATAATAGGGTGTTGAGATTTTATACAGAGAAAAAATATCTTGTAGTCATCGTAGACTCGTATTAAAAAATAAGTTAAGTCATTGTTTATTGAGGGATACTTGTTATGTATTAAATACGTTAAATTAAAGTTTAGGCGTATTAGTAGAATATTGCGAGGAGTAGGAATGCATTCTATAGAATAATATGTACACAACCATTTATAATAGTTGATTATTCCATAAATGAATAAACCACGTCATGAGTCATGCATTCTACCCACCCAAATTCGATGCTGCTTTCGGTTTATTGAACTTAAGCATGTTGAATTTTATTCATAACTTTGGTTGTCATATATTAAATATACCTGAGTAGTTTCCCATGCAAGCCGATTCCAATCATCAGATGAACCTATTTGATTTTCTTTTGGTTTCTGTGGGATTGCTCTTTGTAAATGTTCTGGCAGCTGAGAATTTTCCACGATCCATTTCTAAAAAAAATATAGAGTTTGGTCATTAATAAAATAGTCTAGATAGTCTTTTGGACATTGCTTAAATCCATTTAGATGTCTATTAAAATAAAATTAGTACTTCTGTTTTTTCGCTAAGTTGACTAAACAGTTATGACTTACTCATGCCATTTTTAATAGATACGAGTATATCAACAATTATATAAAACGAGATAGGTAAAAAAATATTCCCAGAAAAAAACCTCAGACGTTAGTGTTCTTATTACTTTTTAATTTATTTTCGGACTGTAATAACAACGGATTTCGCAATATTTACAATTGTTAATATCATCAGATAGAAAATATGAATTATATAAATTTATGTATTATTATATAAAATAATTAATAAATAACAATTATTTCATTTTGTTTTAAATTAAAGTTATAAAAGTATAAAGAATTTTTACTAATCAAACATTATATTAATTTTCACATTAAATACGAATTAAAGAATTTTAGATTGTTTAACAAAATAGTTTGTATTAATATTTTGAAAATGAAGAAAATCATACACAAAAGATAAATTTAAGAGAATTTACTTATTTTAAAAAATCCAATTAATTAAGTCTTCTTCAAAAAAAAGAAATTTTACATTTCATAGTTTTGATATAATAATTATTGACATTTTTATCAACCCATTAAAATTAATCAATTTTAAAATTAGCACCCACGATTGTGGGTTGTTATTGAATCTGGTAATTACTAAATAAGATACGAGTTGCTTAATTTTAATTATACAATGATGTAATATTTTAACCACGACTAAGATTAAATATTCTTACATTGTGGTTTGCTCAACTTAAAATATATTATTTAATAAAAAATTCTCCCAATATATATTTTTTAGTTCACCGTAACTTACATTTTTTAAAACTAACTAGTTAAAATACATTTATATTAATAAAATTAAGAAATTAGACAATAGCAATTTTGTTTAATAAATGATTTAAGTTTATTTTTATTTTATGTAAGTTAATTCTTTCCACAAAACTGTCCATTTTAAAATTAAATGCAAATTGGTATTATGTGTTCTTTAAAGACACATTGTGGCAATTTATAATAATCATATGTTTAAAAGGTTAATAAAATGTTCAATACTGATGGTTTTAAATTTTTCCTAAATTTTTAGAAGTCTCGGCAATAAAATGGATTTTTTCATTAAAAAAGATATTTCAAAGATAGATCTTATCTTATTTTTCCAACAAGGAAGTATAAGTCCATTATAGTATTTTGATGATTTTGTAATTAATTATATGGTTTTGTGAAATATTTTTAGGCAGTTAGTTTTATTTGTTGAAAAAAAGTCAACTATAAAAGCAGATTCACATTGAATTTTTTTTAATTACTCTAAATACATAATTTTACTAAATTATACATTGAATTAATTTTGATTCTATATATTAGACCATAGGCTACGATTGCAAAAACTAAAACCAACCACTAGTTGTATATGACATCCTTTTATGAACAATAGGACTATAGTACCGCTCCGAAAACCGTATTATAAATTTATTACGGACTTCCTGGATGAAGGAAATCCTGTACCAGGTGAGCACACGCCCATTATCATTATTTTTTTTACTATTTCGCTGAAGTAATTATATTTTATCCATGATATAAAATACACATTGTCAAACAAAAATAAAATAAGATTCTCACAAATTAACATGGACGAAAGGGGCGAAAATAAACGATATTAATAATTGTTGTTTACGTCTCCCACGTTTAACCTATTTCAGAGATAGAAACAAAACACTATTTTTGATACACATCATGTGCCTATTAAATTTAAAATTAAAGTGATTTTTATTCATAATATGTGGGCATAGCTCATACTCATCCATACCCGCAAATCGTGGGCCGTAATAGTTCATAAATATAACAATACTTAACATGAAGAAGTTGAACTATTTGTAAATTTTTTTATCCTAAGATTTATTATTTTACCGATATTTCTAACTTAAATTGACCTGGATATGTTTTGACTCTAAAGACATAGTAAATAACACAATACTATTGTACTCAGATCTATAGTAATAAGCCTATGTACATACACATATCAATCCTTGTTTTACAGACAAAGGATATTGAATTACAACGCAATTGTAACATATTATTACAGAATAATCAATTGAAAGGGTTGTATCGATAGAAATTTGAGGTATTTATGCAATGACAATAATAACAATACTAAAACCTAAACTAATCGATAAATATAAATTCAAGTCCAAGGACACAATTTAAGTAGGTGGATTTATGTCACATATATAAAAAGAGATAGAATTGCTCAAATTGACTACTTGTTTAAAACAAGTACGGATAATTTAGTAAATTCTGTTGATAAAAAAATTGTTTATAAAATTAAGACAAATTAAATGAACATTTAAAGAAGTTAATTTAATGTCATATTATATTATATATTATTAACTATGGGTATACTAAACATAAATCCAATGCACTTTATTTAAAAATTAAAGATTAAATATTACTAAAAATTATTTATATATTTCAAATAAAATAAAAATAGACATTTTCATAAACATCACAATGATTTCACGTCATATAAGGCCACTAAAACATACAATCTTTTAAACCTCAATTAAATACTACAAACTTAAAATATTTTGAGAGGAAAAAAGCATTGTATTTTGTTTAAAAAAATATTAGATACTTAAAATTTTACTAAAAACAATATTTAGATATGAATTAAATTTTTGAATTTTCTCACCAGAATAATAACGAAAACAAAATTAAATTTTATAAATATATTTTGTCTTTAATAGGGGCATAGGGTAAGGAAAATTTCACATCCTCATTACAAAAAATTTGTTCTTGTTATCAAATAAATATCAATATATAAATAAATAATATTAAAGATAATGGGTAGAGAATTTATAATCAAGCTTACCTTTCTATAAATAATCTATATCTATGCCTTAATCCTTTGATATCATTAATAATATAGGTATTTATATGCTATAATTATAAATGCTCTATAAAAAAATTAAACGTCTTTTTATTGGTAAAAATTAATGTGTTCTTTACTTTACCTTAAGACATTGAGGCTCGTGAAATGGCAGTGAAGCCGTACCAAATTCCTTGCCGCATAGGTAGCAAAGGACCAGTCTTTTTCTTCTAGCTGAGCCTACAGTCATCGGTGTCCATTTATCAAGTTGGTATTCTGCCTCGTCTTGCGTGGGAACAGAAATGGGTTGAGCGCGCGGTGGCGGTTGTGGTGCCTGTTTTTTTACAGTACTAGACTTGACCTTGACCGGCAGGTTACTCTTTTTTTTAGCCGCCTGTTGTACTTTAGCTTGCACTTCTGGTAAACTTAATACACTTTTCCTATCTTTAGTCTTTATTCGATAAGTTCTATTGTTTAATTGTTGTTGTTTTATAACATTTGTCCTTCTTATGACTGGAGGCTGCAGATTACTTTCCAATTCCAACGGTTTATCCAGTTCAATTAATTTATTTAACACTAGCGGTTTGTCCAGTACAGCTGTACTCGGCCGTTCAATTTTTTTAACACTTTCGTGCTTGGTAGATGCAATAAGCGGCGATGTTAGCTGTGGTTTATTGTTTGTTGACACTTTTTTTGTTGGTGCCTTCACGGCCGAATTAGCATCTTTCGAAATACTCTTCAGCCCTATGAAAAAAAAACAAATACTTAAACCATATGGGTAAACGGCCAAACCGTTAAATAATGATTACCATTCGATTTGCATTACAAATTAAGTTTAACGTGATTTTTAAAAATATATCTAAATAATCGTACAGGTAAAACATTATTTTAGTTACTGCCAATCTAAACTGTGATTAATATAATTCTAGCATAAGTTAAAATATAACATAATAAACAGTAAAATTGTGTATCTAATTAAATCTTTTAGCTTCGATACGAAGATAAGAAAGTTTTAACATGATGTATTTTTTTTATGTTTATTTACAAAAATTTTCAGAGCTCACTTGAGACTGATTTTAATCTAGTTGAACCTATCGTCAGCAAAATTTGAAAAACCATCAATTTTATGAAAAAATATCTCAAAATTATTCTACTGTAAAAAATGACATTTTCAGTATCTTTTTCTTCTTTAATTTAAAAAAAAAACTCTGATTCCAATAGATTATACAAGAGACAAAAAGCTTTTCTATAGTATAATTTTTATGAAATTTAATGAAAATCATAAGTACAGTAATGGTTTGAATGAGACCCACGAATGTAAATTTTTTTTTCATCTTAATTCTATTAAAGTATACTATAAAATTTAAAAAAAACCATCCCACGATAGTTGGAAAAATGATAATTTTTTTGAAATTTAACAGATTTGGGTCGAAGCGTTTTAAAAATGACTATTAGTGTCATTTATACATAAATGATATCTGACAGTGATAAGTACACTTGTTCCAACTATGCCACGATCCTACTGTGCTCAGTTTTTACTTCTATACAGTTGTATAGTTACGTCAGAATTTTGAATATTGTTTGAGAAAATTAATACACATTTTAATACAAAATGAATTTTGATTACTTAAAATATAAAACTGTAACATTGGAGGGTAATAGAGAATTCAAGTCGTAAATCCTTTATTAATTTAATTTTATCTATGTAAATGATGCAACAACATCGCCTTACATTTGTGATAATACCTCTTATAGTTTGAAAATTAATTTATGTTGTTAAAATTTATTAATACTAAATAATATATTATTAATTAACATTTTTTAATTAAAATTAATTTTGTTTCTAAGCAATTTTTGATTGAATACTTATGATAATTTTACATGCATATATATTTCCATATACATTAATTACCTCATACGTATATATATAATGAATTATATATGTATAATGAAGGCGCATAAGTCTGTGGCGGAGCCAAGTATTAGATAATAGATAGGAAAATAATATTCAAAATTCATAAATTTTTTTTTATATATCCTTTCACTTATTTATGTAAAAATCTATTCAGCTCAGTGGGATCGCGTCATAGTTGGGTCAATAAGTTAACGTTATAACTTAATAGTAATAATGAGTTATAAGTAATAGTTGGAAAATAATAATCATTTTTCTGTCACATCTGAAAAATAATACAAGTGTAGACAGCAATGGCGTATTTAGAAATTTTTATGGGAGGGGGTGGTTCAGATAACTTTTAGAATATAGAGTAGCAGGGAGAATCATTCTTCTACTACCTCCCACTACTATGATTTTATATCCAAGGGGGTCCGGACCCAATGGTTCCCCTGGTAGATACTTCGTATCTACTAGATGTTACGGCGTATTGACCTAGTACCGAAAAATAAAATAACCTCATCTAATAATTATGATTGGTAACCCTAAAAAATATGTACATACATATAAACTAGTTGCTATAGACGACGATTGGTTTGTTGATAGGTAAAAATCAATAAATATATTTCAATTAAATTTAAACACGAAAATTACTCATAATTAGTTAAATTTCTATAATTTTGTGCACTAAATTAACAACATAAAAAAACAATGCATTAAGATAACATTGAATTTTCTAGAATAATTTTGTAATTTCAAATATTTCAAGTTTTGGCGGGTCAGCGCTTGACATCTCAAGAAGAATTACTCAATTGTGATACATTTTTTTATTTCCCATTAAAAAAATGTTACATGCAGAAAACTATGATAAAATATAAGTTTAAAATTAATTATATTTTAAGAATCAAAATTCAAATTACTATTAATATTTGTATTTATCTTGATTTTCCATATATAAATGTTTAAAATAACACAAAGGTTATGTAATGGCATAACTTAAATTCTGGGCGAACAACATAACCAAATCAAAATAAAAAGCAAACCAAGTAAAGAACCCATTTATTATAGTACTATCATGAAATTTTTTTTATACTACAACTCTTTCATTAAATTTTAAGAAATTTAAAGTGATAAATTATTTCTCATAAAATGTATGTAAGTATAAATGATATAAAATATGTTGTCATAAAACATAGAAATATGAACTTATTAGTAATTTTAGTTGTACTAATTTCGTTACAATAATAATTTTTTATTAGAAAAGACATTTCTGCAAAAAAAAATTTCTTTCCTTACTAAACTAATTTCTTTATTTATATTATACTACCAACCTCTTAAATGTTGTTTGATTTAATATTATATTTAAAACACAGAACTTTTAATAATTCAAACGTTTGTAATGAAAACAAAAAAACCTTATTATTTACCTACAATGAAGAGAAACCTAAGTAAAGCTTCGACATTATCAAATCCAACTATGTAAATATGAGAGTAAGGAATTTTTAATTAAAATAGAATTACACAAGAAAAAATGAACTAACTCGAAATCATCATCTTCTTAAGAATAGATGGAAACTTTTTTGGTTTCATGGTGTTGGTGGTCTCCGTAGATTTCTCCATTTGCTTTATAGTTAAAAAAATTGATAATTATTAAAAATGGTTAAGAGAACATTTGTTCGATTTTTATACTATTCAATGAATATAAAGACATTATTAAATTATTAATGCATTACAAAACACAACAGACGACGGTTGCACGCAAAGCACAACTGAAAGCCAACGGTTACCATCCGCAGAATGCCACTTACTGACCTTCATCGCTATCTGGTTGCCGGTGCATAGCACACAATGAGCGACATTTTTTGCAGTCTCTTGTTCAATGCCTTTAAAATTGTATGTGAGATCAATTATTGTTTTTTTTTTTTACAGAAAACTTAAAATTTTACGAAATACTGTTTAAAGTATTCCCAGAACTTTGGTAAATATTTAAATAAAAATCCTTATAAATGAAAATGAACTTTTTGATAAAATAAACTGTAAAACTTATTAAACCCTTCAAAATAAAATTTTAATATTTTAAGGTTTAGAAAAAATGAGTTGCGTGAAAGTTGACATCAAAGTTAATAAAAAATTACTATTTTTGTAAAATAATTTTTTTTTATATTTTTAACTTAATAATGCTCTAACTTTTTCAAAAATGAACATATCAATATAATTTTTTTTTATATAGATGCTTGATGTCTTTACTTATCATTTGGTATATTTTTTTTGTAAATCTGACACTTAACCTGCCCACAGGGGGGGATTTAAAATGACAACTTTTTCACAAAAAATTTACTTTTTCAACATAACTTTTGAAAATGTTCCGGAAGGTCTGACACTTTTATATATATCTTAAATTAAAGCTAATGTAATATACTTTAATTTGAAAAAAAAAAATTTGACCTCTGGACTTGTCTTCATGGCGAAAATGGCTACCGAATGCTTTTTTCGTGTGAAAATTCTCGATTTTATTATTTATATTATATTTAACTTTATAATGCTATAACTTATTGAAAAGTTTATGGATCCACACAATTTTTTTATGAGAAATAATATTTTTTAATAAACCCTTTTTCATTCGACATACTTTACCTTAATCAGGATATTAATAAGGAACCAGCAGATCAAGTAGCTTTTGGAATAAAACACCAATTTTTTTAAAATTAAACACTATCTAAAGATTTGCATCGAAGCGTTTATTTTTGATAGTGATTTTAATCACTGTCAGATATCATTTACTTGATCCAACTATGCCACGTCACCACTGTGCCGCGACCCCCCTGTGCTGGGTTTTTTATACCTATGAGTGTCAACTTAATTTGTTTAATTGCAACATACATATTTAACTAACTTATCAAATAGAAAATTATCTAATTAAGAAAATGACTGGCCGTTAACAACTTTTGAACCAGTACTTTTACTATTAACATTTTTATACCTTGGTGGGTGGAAAGCTGCGGCCTAGAAATAGTAATAACTTTGAAATAATGGGTCAAAAGTTGTTATCGATCAGATGTTTTTTAAATTAGATTATTTTTCATTTTCTATGATAGTCAAATATATATGCTTCCTTTAAAAAAAATAAATTTGACACCCTTATAAGGGATAATGGATAAATTAAAAAAATAACTAATAAATTATAAATCGAGAAATCGAGAAATATATGAAACTCATAATTTAAAGATAGTTGTATCAATATAATTATTTTAAGAGAAATCGAGTGGTTAACGTTAAAAGAATCGCATTTGTATGTAAAATCTATTATAAAAATATATCTAACTAATTAAGTCGTACAAATCGTTTACTTCCAAGACATTTTCAGTGTATTTTTTAAAAAGAAAATAAATGACGAACTGAATAAAGTTTTTCATTTAATTCTTTCATTGTAATTTTTTTACCAAAATTTCCCTACAAAATGATTTGAATCTTCTTCTTCTTCCTCGCCTTAATCCCAACTACTTAGGGTAGACCCTACAAAATGATTTGAATACAAAGTTTTTTGATATTATAGGTTTTAAATAATTGTTTATTTTTATTTTACTTATCTATTTATTAATTTCATCATATAAACACCAACAATAAATTTTTCTTACCGATATCCATAAATACTCAATGATATGGTTGGTTGGTATTACAGCAATATAAATAAACAGTTTGGAACATAACACCTTTAAAATATTCAACTAAAAGTTTTTTTTTTTATCGCTTTATATGCCCATTAAGGGCCACAGCGGCCTCTCCCAAAGAAGAGGTTTCTTAACCATTGGTACTCCAGAACGGGTGGCTAGTCCGTTAAGAAAAAAAGTTTTTTTTTTTAACATGTATAAATATTAAATTTTACTGTTGTGACTGCAGTGTTAATTTCTCATAAAAATAACAGCTAAGCTCGCATAATATAATTGAATTTATTCCTTCAGTTCAAAACTAAACAATATTTTAAAACTAACGATTAAGCATAAATAAAAGAATAATCACTGTTTTTCATGTGAAATATGTTAATGTAGCATCACACCAGCGACATACGGTCATCGTTTAAATACAATGATAACTTTATAGTAATGTAAAATTATGATAAATGAACATATCATATGTTAAAATATAAAATGGTCTATGTAAACTGAATATCACTTAATTATTTATAATCCGATTGTTGAAAATAATTTTTTAATTAACGTCTTTATTACATTTTTTTTCGAGTAGCAATGACGTTTATGAATAGTGTGGAATGACAAGGTTAATCGAAATCTTATTCGTGGTTCAAGATTACATGATAATTACAAATTCAAGCCGAAAGAGCTGCATAACCAAAAACAAATTATTGATAAAAAAATGAATCAGTATCATTTTTACTTTACATCATTCAACTATGTAAGAATAGTTATTTAACACTATAATAAGCCATAAAAAATATAGTTTCGCAAATATTTTTCCGGCACTTGTTAAAAGAATTTTTAGTGAAATTTTAAATAATTTGAAAAGTAAGTGAATAAATAAATTAATTAAAATTAAACTATTTTAATTATAAATTAAAAAATGCTTAAATAAATGTTTATTCTCCTTGTGTATAAATTGACGCCATAAATAATATAAAAATATTAACTAGGGACACTGTGATTTTCATAATATTTTATGATACATCCATTATTTTACATAATATGTTCATTTTGTTCAGAAAATATCTATGTTCTATTAAAAATTGATCAGGGAGAGTAGTGTCTTTTTCTTTATTAGAGCGAAAAAAGTCTAAATATGTCTATACCTTGCTTTATAATAACAAACTACACTTCTAATATTTTTTTTTCGAGGTGATCTGATATTCATTGTATCTTAAATTATGCGTCACTTTACATTTAATGTACAACTTTAATATTTTAAAAAAAACTAATTTTTTTATAATCGAATTAAATTATTTCACACGCCATATTTTAACTGATTATATTTATTAATGTCATTGATATATATACATATTCTTGAGTTGCATTTGTTCCTTAAATTTGCCAATTTCTATTTTGAATCTTGTCATGGCTTTAGTACAAAATATACTAACTTAAAAAAAACTAATTACTTTTATCTGTTTTTTCATATATTATTGTAATTTTAAAAATGTATTAAACCAAAAAAACGAAATAAAAATTACTATTTTTTTATTGTATTGAAAAAAATATATATTGTTACACAAAAATAAATAATAGTAATAAAATCAACACTCAATTTAAAATCATTAAATTTATCAAATAAATAAGCACATTGAAGGAAATTGTTATATAATTCAAAAGAAGCAAAGAATAACATAGGAACACAACGGGAAAACGTTTATCCGTATAAACAAGATAGATGGTTAACAATACTATTGTTTATATTATATGAAGTAAAGCGTAAAAAAATATATTTTATACTTTGGACTTGTTTTTATTTTGATTCAAGCACTGAATTTTCCAATATTATAGTGTACATCTTCAAAGATGTTTATAAAGAAAGAGATGAGTCAAACTACTTTAGCTCAATGAATGTGTTTTTGTGAATTTATCCATTATATTGCTTTGAACTTTAAAACCTGATATAATCAGACATGATTTCAGTATAGATAACATATATTTTAATGGTTAAAATTTTTTTATTATTTTTGGGATTAGGTGAGAATAATAAAACACGTATTTAATTATTTGCGATGGTGGTCAGTGAGGCACACAGTTCCCATAATTTATACATCTGATCAAATCGTAGAAAAAAAAGTTTTTGTTAATAAGTCACATCTAAGTATTTGTTATTTTAGTTTGTGATACCATTTTGTGCAAATAAATTCTTTAAGGTAAAACTGAAGTTAATATAAATAAAAAAAGATTTTTAAATTAATAGTACATTAAGGTATAAATTAAATGTTGATAAGACACATATAAACCAGATATCTACATTGTTTGTTGATTAAAGTAAAAACATTGTCCAAAGGTCAAAGATATTTGAGATATAGTATTAACAGGTCAACTGTACTACTTGAACGTGAAATAGAGTGAACAAACCTTTTGAAATATAGCTAAGTTAATTTTCCAGTAATTGTTCAGGTGTAAATATAAAATTTTATACTACATAATGAAACTATTAAAATTTATTTGGTCTAAGTTTCATGGAAATTTTAGAATTGTAAGTAATAATAAAAAGATACTACAACCAAAAATTTTTTCTGAAATATTCAATCCAATTTTATAAGCTAGAAAATAATTGATTTACATAGTCGTATGTATTGCTTGTAAATTGTCATTACTTAGTAAATTAGAAATAAAAAAAAAGTTTTCTATAACCAAACAACTTTTTTTATGTATTAAGTTTTTAATTTAAATTAATTTACTCTAAAATAATAATAATAATAATCCATATTTTAATTTCAGATGGAAATGAATAAAGATGCGTTTTCACTCGAAAAAGAAGAAATGCAATTGGCCAAAAAGGTATTTGTTTCCAATGATTTTATAATGACTAAATTGATATGATAGTTAACTCAAAAAAGAATTTTTTCAATTCTATAGTATGTGATAATTTTCCCTTATAGGTACGAATACTAAAAAAAAATTCAAGATGCTAAGTATAATTTGTAGCTTTTAAAAATATTTTCATATAATCAAAAAAGGTAATTAAAAAAAAAAATTTGTGGCGTCAAGTAGATAAAGAATTCCTCTACTTGCAACTATGAATTATTAAAACCATCACTAAAAGTTTCAGTAATAAAAAAAAATACAAATTTTTATATAAAATAAAAATCCCAATTTTTTTTTCCTCAGATATTTCTAACTTTGTTACACATTTTAAAGATGCTATTGCTGATAATAGTTATTTAATTACAGGAAAAGCAAAAAATGAAAGCTCTGAAAAAAAAATATAACTTGGTATTAAACGATGAAGTTTTAAATTATTTGTTAACTAAAGACAATGCAAATTTAAGTAACAAAGGTATTGTAGGGAAAATATCAGTATTAATTACATTTCCATTAATTATTTTATTATTTTTACTTGTTATGTTATATTTTTAAAATCATTTACACTATTATATTTTATATTGCCTTGATTTGTTTATTTTACTATATTTGTTATTGTTTATATGTTTTATAAATAAAAATTGATTGTATATGGCTTTTTGGTTAAAATTATTTTAAATGCTTTAATGTATAACTTAATATTTTAAAACTTAAGAAATTTTATAATTTAGAGTTAAAATATATATCTTAAATGTAAATTTAATTGCCTACTTTTAGTTAATAAGGCGAAATGAAATTTAATATATTTGCAATACAAAGGAATGTAAATATTTTTTAATATAGATGTTTTAGTATTTAATGCAATTAAAATATTTGAACATCATCATAATAAATTTTATATTATATTTTATTAATATCATACTTTTATTAATGAAAATCTATCTCACTACAAAATATGTTCCATTTAAATTTTTTCTGGGAATTTTACACGTAGTGTTATATCTATATATATAGTAAAACTTTGTGATCTCACAACCTTTTTTAAAAATCTTAAATTTTCTCTGAAATCTAATTAGTAGAGGTAATAATATTTGATGTTTTATTAAATAACAAGAATTTATAATGGTTACATTATAATTTCAGCACTTTATACAATAACGTAATTAGGGGGAGGCAAAAGGGGTAAATAACCTTTTTTTTTTAGAAAAAATAAGGTATTTTTATAAATTAAAATCTGATAATTTAACTTTTTTAGGAACATAAAAATATTATAAATTATGGCCAGGACAGCAAAAATCCTTTCACTTAATTATTTTAAAAGTGTGTAAATTGAAATATTTTGATTTATCACAATGAAAGATGAGTAATAATTATAGTTTTTCGATAACATTATAAAAACATTAAAAAAAATTACTGAAGTCATTTATAAAAATATATCCGTTGAGATAGTTATATGTTAGCACTTAAAATATTAAGTGAAAATGTTTAAAAGAAAATTCTTTGAAGTCAAATTTTCATAAATACAGGGGACACGTGCAACGTTTTGGAATATATTAATTTTTTGACTGCAGTGCCACATAAGGAAACGGACGGCAATGTTGAATATGATTAGAAACCCAAATCATATCCATATCGGTGCGAGTAATATATACATGTTGAAACGAAATGCGCATACAGTTAAATAGGATTTATTGTACGCATATGTAGACAGTGCATCAAAATATCGTGACACTTGTCGGTGCTTTTTAAAGGTGCGAGAAAACAGTCAAGAGGCTGTTGTGAATTATATAAAACGAACACATACAAATAAATGGTTGTGAAAACGATGACCATATGCGTCGGATGGATTCGCGCGTAGGCGCCTTCTGTAATGCATTGATGACTGCGGTCGACCAGCAGCCGACCGGTTTGAGTAGGAGGACAGCTAAGCGAACTACTGTTCTCTAGCCGAGTATGTTTCACGCGCAGAATACGATTCACACAATAACGCACCAACGGTCACTGTGAAGACGGCCATCCGACGATATGATTCGGGCAACGACAATATTCGTAGCCCTAATCGGCGCGCTGCTCGCCCTTAACGCAGCGTCTGTCGACAATGGTAAGTAGACATCTAACTGATTACTATAAAAGTATAATATTGAAATCTATAAGCATTGCGAGTTCTTCATTCTGAGCTAACGTGTACAAATTATTTTCATCGCACTTCTTTAACATCCACAAACAATTGTAACAACGACTCGCTAAATAATCTTAAACAAATAAAAACAATTTTACTAAACGGTTTTAGTTTCAAATAAATTTCCAGTAGAAACATGTGAAGTCAAACATGTTTATAAAAATTAATATTATACTATGAATTTGAAAATTTTTTCGAGTATATGGTTAACAGATTTTGTTTAATATAAAATCTAAAAATTATTTCATGAAAAGTATTTAAAGTCATAAAAGTAATTTTATATCTTTGTTCGCCTCGTGTAAAACTTTAGGGTTGAGTTGTAATAATTTTATTTGTGGTGAATCTATGAGGCATTTCGATCAAATTTACAATAATCCGACAATAAAAGAAAAATAGTACTTATTTAATTCTAAAACATAGACTTTAACGATTCGAGATTGTTCTAAATAATTTTTACTATTAATATATTACAGAACTAATATCGATACAATTATAAACATTAAAATAATTTTATTTCTAAAATTTATATTAAATAATAGAAATTTAAGTACAGACGGGATACAGCGTAGTAGAATCATTTTTTTTTATTACTATTGATTGATGTTTAACAGTGGTAAAATACGTATTTGAAACAAAATTTATCATAACTACTAAAAATTACATGATTTCAACACTTAAAGTCGATTACTTCTAGTAGACAAGTCTTTCATTTTTTAACGGTATAGTTTATTAAATAAACTTAAAATTAATTTAGTTTTGAATGATTTAGATATTCTGTTGCTATACAAAACACTTCGTATCAATCATTATAGCTAAAAATCATACATTTTTGTTAAAATAGTTGATAATTTATATAAATAAAGTTTTCGGTTAGTTTTGATTTTTTCTTCTTAAAGTGTATTACATTATATTCAATTTTATGTAGGATTAAAAAAGTAAGGGTTTTTGGAATATTATAAAAAATTAAAAGAAAAAAAAATTATAATAATTTTGCCCATTTCTAGTACTTTTGTAAATAAAAGAGTTTTTCAAAAAAATATATATTGATAGTATATGCGGAACTCTATATATATTTTGGTGTAAGGTAGCCAGATGAATTTTCGAAATGAATTTAATTAAATAAAAATGATGAACAAAAACAAAATGTTGTCCTCTTTTTTCCCAAGCTTCTTCAAATTTAAAATAAATCCGAACAACATAAAATATCAAATAAATCATAACTATCAATATTACAATAAACAATATTTTTTATCGTATGTTGTCAATATTTGTAGGTTTGCTCTTTAATATTGAGATTCACTCCTAAGAATTTTTGGACGCTATTTCCCTTCAGAACCACCCCCTAAAAACGCACCTAGACACATGTCTTAAATATTCTAAACAATTATTTTATTTTGATCCATGCATCATTCAAATAAATAGAGAGTTTTAAAAAAATAATATTTATCAAAAATTACATGGTTATTGATTTTATAGCTCGAATACTCCTAGAAGACAAGTCGTAGGATCGTCTTTACTTTTTCAATTGTATAGTACATATAAAAACCTTAAATTTTTTTAGTTCTAGATGGTGTAGATATTCCGTTTCTAGCAATAACTTACAAAATCGGTCAGCATTATCAAAAGTTATATGATTTTAGCGGACAACTAAAAATTGAAATTAAAATTTAGAAATTTGGGACTACTGAAAAATAAAATAATAAAAAAGCACAATATATTAAAACCAATAACTCTTCAACTACAAATGAAGCTAAAATAATATAAACTAATAAATAAATTACAATTAATTAATAGCCAAAGATGATTTAAATGATATTTAATGTGGCCTTTAAAAATACTTACAGTTAATTTTAGTTATTATTATTTTATGTTACCATTTAAATTAATTTAAGAAAGATAAAAATATATGAAATCACAATGAACATATAATATATTATTGGTTATAAATCATCATTATAAAACAAATTTAAATGATTTATAAAAATATTAAAATAATGAAAACAAATAGTATTCAAATCAACTAAAAGAAAAACAAAATACATTTAATTGTAAAGTAATTAAACACACAATAATTAAATACTAATAGTAATAGTAATAATATAACAATAATTATTATTGTATTAATTTATTTTTATGCAAATAATAGTTCGTTTGTGGACTGCAAAAATAATTGTTTTTTCATAAAAAAAAAAATGTAATATATTTTTTTTGTGATATATCTCAGATAACAAATTTTTAAAGATAATGTTATTAGGAATAGACCGATATAAAGTTAAAATTATTTTGAAATCCATAGCTATTCGATGTTTATTTATAATAAATAAATTTATTATTAATATAAGATTTTTTTTGTTAGGAGAATAAAAAATTCACCAAACAAACAATAATATGATTGACTTAAAAAAAATTATCAGCTATATTTTTGTTCGGAAAAATTGTAGATATTAATCTTACATTATTATTTTATTTGTATTATAATATAATACAAATATCCTGTATCGTGGGATATTTATTACAATTTCTAATTCTTGTTACTTTATAAAACATTTATATTAAACCCTTTAAATTATTCATAATAAAGATGAATTATTTATTAATATTTACTTAAAACTAAAAAAAATAATACAATAATTTCGGATATTTTTTCTCTTTTCATCTTAAAGTACATTGTATCAGCTTTAATTGAATAAAGATTTTAAGAGGTTTTTAGTGAATATTATAAAAATTATTTCCAATGTAAAATATTTAACAAATATTATTTTTATAAAAATACTTCTTCGTTATATATGTATTTTGTTAATAACGGAGTAAATGAATAAAATGTGATAGCAATTATACAAAATAAACACTAATATCGTTAACCGTTTTCATTGACCCACTTGAACACAAGACTTTTATTAAATAATTTTAGTTTATAATACTATTTTCTACAAATATATTACACAAATAATATGTTTATCAAATTGAATTTATGAAAATAAACCGGCCCAAACACATTTCATTCTTACCAACAATAATATGAATAGTAACAGCTATGCCAAGCCCATTTAATTTGAGGTAATAAAATATCTATTACTAACATCGATTTACATTATTATATTTGATAGTGTAAGCATACAAATGTTTCATTTAACATAAATCGCTTTTTATGGAAGATAATAAAATTACAATGCACATGACCCACTCCATATAGTTTTACATAAACATTTTGTGAAAACTTGTTTTTCGGTTTAATTTAGCTGATGTCATAAAATAAGTTTCTATGTTCCACTGTTACGAAAACGTTAAGTTTCTATTCACAATAAAACGTAAAATCAAATTTTTACACATATTGTGTCATGATAGAAAAAACGATATTTATTTTACTACAAAAATACGTAGGTAGAGTGTCAATCTTTCCATCACTAGTATACTGCATAATATTTTGTAACTTGACAGTAGTTACAAAATATTCAGTTTTTTTTGGTTTCAATTAAGCATCTTTATTTAGCTTCAGCTCAAAATATGAGACAAAACTAATCAAGATATTATAAATAAATTATCATGTTTAAAACTAACCTTAAAATCATTTCCTAAATGGTCATGAAAAAAATTAGTAAAATAAATAATGTATCGAAAAAAAAAATTAAGACTTTCTACGATAAATAAAGCTATTTGTTAATGTAAAATATTAAAAAAAAAACAATAATTTAAAAAAAAATTGTTTTTTTTTTTGGTAGTATAAATTTAATATATAAAAAGTTGTAATGAAACAATATAAGAATTACTTTAGTTTGATTTATTTTTATATTTTACATTTTAATAATAACAAAGGCATTATTATTAATTTAAATAATTATATATATTTTGTTGTTTTTATATTAAACAACAGGACATATTATTTTCACCTGAGAAAGAATTTTTCTTTAAAAAAGTATATTACTTTCAGAGACAACGAGAGCAATTGAAGAAGCAGTAGCAAGCGATCAGTTTACAATAGTAATCCATGATGAAGGACCACTAGGTGGTAAAAAACGGCGCAAACCGGAAACCGTGGCGACCATTGAATTTCCCGGATACTATCAATTTACTTTGAAAATTGATAGAAGTGAAGGTCAAGGTACTTATATAAATATTTATGCTTAATATAAATATTTTGTACTTAACAAACCTGTAAAAGTTACTACCATAAATTTAAACTTTTTACATCAGTCTTTTATGTCTAAAGATTGTTCTATTTGTGTAATGTGACGAACACCTTGTGGGTTTACGCCTATGTAGGTTGGTATATTATTTAAACCAATCATTAAACTATATAGAAAAAAGTTTCAACCATATTTTATACAGTTTCATGTATTAGCTTACCATGCATTTTGTGCCCAGTGCTAAATAACTTCATTGTTTGCAACACAAACCATCCATCCGTGAAAAAACCCGTGTTGACGAGTTGAATCAAGATATTTTATGGGCGTAGTAAATGTTTTAATAAGTAAACTTGGTCATGAAAATCTCATTTTAATCTTATGTTATACATAAATTACATAAGAACATCATGACAGCCTATACATAATCAAAATACAACTGTAAAACAATCAAGAAAATAAAAAGACTAAATATTTAAAAAAAGAGCCAATATAAACCATTTATAATAGATTTTTCTCATAGCTGATGCTAAAAAATTCTATTGGTTTGAGAGGGGTACATATGAATACATTGCTCACTAAAATGTCAATTTTGGAAACTTCAAACACATTTTGCTATTAATTAATAACTTTTAAATTTAAAATAATAAAATAATGTATTAAATGTAATAATAATAATAACGTATTATGTATTGTATATATATTTTTAAATATAATGGTATTTCAGTGAACCATAGGCTAATAAATTTTAATGATTTTACTCTTCCCAATAACATTAAAAAAATATTTTTTCATACATAAATGTACAATGTTTACATTGATTATAGAACTCATCAATACAATTAAATCAAATGAACAGTCAAATTTTCGTCATAACAAAATAATATAATGATTTTTAAAATAAATAATAAAATGTAACAATACTTACTAAAAATTACAGTTATCCAAATTAAAGACAGGTTTATTATTATTGATCACATAAATAAATTGATTATAAAAGGTATGATAACAAATCCCATTTAATTTTGTACATTTCTATAATTAGATATGTGTTTGTCATATTAAAAGTATTTATTTATCCAGAAACTCTCCGACTTCAATAAAAATAGCACCAAATTATTTTCATAGCTTTATTTAACAAATAGTTCCATCAATTGATAAGATTGAATTTCACATAATTAACATGATGTTTACATACCTGGGGTAACTTAATAATACTTGTTATCTCATATCATTTAAACGGTTTTATATTTATTTGAAGCGACAGAAGTAATATATTTATTTAAAATAAAATTAACGAAATAAATTTGAAGAATTATAAAAATTACTGAAGTTACTCTAAACGAAGCTCATCTTATATTTAAACATAATTTGCATCGATTATCTAAATTTGCTATAGACATTTTTCTTACAAATTCAACTATATTAATAAAATTCTAAGTTGTACCTAAGATACTGTACCCTAAAGTACAATATAACAATTCAATTATTTTTTAGTCATTCTATGTAACTTCGATTATTTGTATATTGAAATCTATATTATAAATAGGTGTTGTGAAATAAAACCTACGAATAATATACAGTTACTTCTTTATTACCTGACATAATAAAAATAAGCTAAGACCACCAACAAACTAAAAAATCATTCTTAAAATTGTACTTTTTATTAATAATAAAACAAAAAAAAAAATTATAAGTTAATTTTTATCAGATGTGTAATATATAATAATGTGTAAATAGTACTGTTTTTGCACTGCCAGTATTACAAACCGCACACAGCAAACAACTAATACAAATGGAAAAAAGTGATCTATAGAAATTTTTTTTTCAAAAAGCTTTGAAACTAGCATATGCCGTGGTAAATCCAGTTGGACAAGCGTCCTTAAAAGGTTAAACTACCATACAATCCCACGACTTCATACTTATAACATGAGCCCATTAAAGTTTCTGACAGTTTACTGGAAGGAAAAACACGTACACAACTAGAACTATCCGGAAGAATATAGATGAGTAATTTCTGAAGAAGCTTATATTCTATATTTTTTTTAAATAAATAGAATAAATAATAATCCTTACAAAAATCATAGTATTGTAGATATTTAGGTTTTATATGGCTTAAATGTTCGTAATAAATAATTAGTAATGAATTGAATTAAAATGAATTGAGATTGAATTAATCTTAATAAAATTTGCGTTGAAGCTAAAATGCACTAGACCGTTAAATATGGTATTTAACAATGGCATAGCCAGAAATTTATTTCAGGGAGATTGACAACAAAAATTGTTTGTAAAATTAATTTCGATGGCCTTTTTTTACTCAAAATCTATCTAAAAGTTTTAATAAACAATTTTTATTAAGAATTAAAAAAATATTCTTATTACGACAATAAGAATATTTTTTTGGGGGGACTGTAGCCCGATATATCTCCTGCATACGCCCCACTAGTATTTAAATATATTAATATTCAACTTCAAAATTGCCGTTAATTATTTAATTTATTATACCCCTCCGTAAAAATAATTCCTATGAAAAATATATAGAGTAGTAATAAACCTAAAATATACTATTTCAAATATTTTTGTTTATTTTGGAGTATGTCAATATTTACATGTGTAATAATTGCTATCAAATTTGTACAATTTTTATTGTAAATTTATCAAAATATATTTTATAGTCATTGTTTCCACTAAGAATAACGGTGACACACAAACAGAATATTTCAATGTGAAAACGTTTGGCACGTCATCATCGAAAAAGGTTCTCATACTGACTATAGATCAAAGGAAACCTGGTGCAACAATGACATTGTATGTAAACTGTGAACATTTTGGTACACTTCATACAATTAAAACTCTTCGTGAAGTTTACTTTGACATGAAAGATCCTCATTTGCAAATGGTAAAGATTTTTTACTGAGAAATTTTATTTTGTATATTATAACTAAAACTACAACTACTGCATAATATAATATTAATTCATAATTTTGAATACATTTTTAATAAATTACACAAAGTTAAATTTAATTTTTTAAAACTCTTAAAATTATTTAGATTCATGATAAACGATTTACAATACAAGTTTTTTCTGATACCGATTGGAGAACTGCCTTATCAGCTCAAAAATGCACCATTAGTGACAGTAGCAGCTCTGAAACTGAACAAATGGCTGCTATACAACCTGCTAACGAAACTCCAGGTCTTATAAGACTATCCCCAAGTGATAGAGGTATTTATTATTAAATCTTATTAATTATATATATTTTTTAAAATATTACTTTTACTATTAATTAAAAATTTTTTAGGTGATATTCCAATTAATCAAGATTGTGACGGTACGTAAAAATAAGTTAAAGTTACCTGGTTTTATCTATTCATTAACATTATTCAAAAATTTTTACCTTTTACAGACTCAATTTTCGTAAAATTAATCACCGATCTTCAGATTATGGTAAAACAATTAAAAGAAGAAATATTATCCCAAGTAAGTATACTGATAAAATTGATTATTTGCTCGCTTATTAATTTACACGGAAATTGTGTAGCGTAATGAAATCAATAAACTTCGAGAAATCCTTCTACAGTGTGACTTTTGCAGACCAGGTATGATCAAGAATTGACGTAATTGACAATGATTCAGGGCTGGACTTCATCTTTAGTTATTTGATTTTAAACAAATTAATCATTTCTGTGGCTTACTCGAGAACCAACGTTTTAATTTTTGTTACTAACTTCTCTTTAATGTACGCAAAATCGTAAGAAAATAATTTTACTCAGTGTAACCTACTTTTAATGAAGCGTTGTGTTATTTTATCACAATAAATTGATTTTTTTTTTATATTGGTAATTTTTTAAACACCCCTAAAGTCCAGCCTTGGTTTAGTATGTATGCTTAAACTATTAAGAAAATGTATTTTTTTTTCATCACTCGAAATGTTAATTTTTAATTAAAAATATTTATTATCCAAGGCTGGTCTTTTGTTGACTTGCAAAAATATACTATATAAAATATAATATAACAGAAAAAATGATCAGAAAAATATTAACAACATTGTTTAAATGTTTTGGGAGTTAAATGTATTTGATAAAAATGTACGTGAAAAGAAACATCATTAAGAATTTTACTACAATTTTTTAAATAAGATACTTTTTACATATATACAATTTATCAAGTAGGTCGGTCGACCCTCAAGCCAAGCTAAAAAGCAAAATGAATAATAGGTGATTGTTGTTATTCTTATTATACTCTACACAACTTGAGAGGAGCTTTAGACATTTGTAGCAGTATAGGAAGTAATTTAACTGGAAATTGTTTTTATAGACTTATTATATTTATACCTAAAGTTGCCAAATGAGACTCAAACGAAAATTCAACAATCATTCTAACCTTAATTTCTAAAATTGATTACTTTTGCAGTCGATTTTAATCATTTTCTTAAACAAGCTCGAGAAAAAACTAAAAATGGGAAATTAAAGAAGTTTTTAGTGTAGAAATGTTTTATTTAAAACTATGGGATAATATAATAAAATTACGAAAAAATTCAAAAACTCTATTGACCCTCCAACATTTTGTCAAACTTAAAAATAAAATAAAAATTTTATCATGTTTAAAAAAAGGCTACTAATGGTTTGATATAAAAATTATCCAAGCTTTTATAAATATGGTTCTTAACATTTTTTTTTCAAAATTTCTAATGTCAGCGCTAGCAATTTGTAGGTCTTGTGAAGAACAATTTTACAGAAGTTTATTAAATTGGAGCGGAACTTGAAATTTTTCTAATTAAAAAATTAATTTTTTAGTTAATTATTTGATTTATGAGGCCCTTATAATACAAAGATCTTGTATTTGTACAATTTTATATTTTTGAAAAAAAACTATAGTTATCACTTAAAAAAGCCGTCTGACATAGCGAATAGCAATATAGTGACGAAATAGATACTCTTCTTCTTCTTCTTTTTTCTCTCCTTAATCCCAACTACTTGGGGTTGGCCACCCTTATCGTAAACTTCCACTTAACACGATTACCCACATCATCTACGCTCTCATATCGCATTCAGTTACATCTTTTTTTTGGTCTTCCTCTACCTTTTCTTCCTTCAACATTCATTTCTATAACTGTTCTTACAGCTTCCGATTCCTCTCTCCTCATAACATAACCAAACCATTTAAGTCTATATCCTCTCATCTTATCTACGATTGATGCTACACCTACACTTCCTCTTATATGTTGTTCCTTATCTTATCTTCTCTAGTCACTCCACTCATCCATCTAAGCATTCTCATCTCTGCTACACTGATTCTCTGTTCTACTTTCATCCGCCCAACACTCTGAACCATACATCATAGCTGGTCTCACTACAGTCTTTATATAAACTATGAATATATAATATTATATGGTATACTATATTACATATATATATATATATATATATATATATAAGACGCTTCTCTCCACTTTAACCACCCAAACTTAATCCTGTGTCTTACATCCTTGTCAATACCACCACTCTTTTGCACAACTGATCCTAAACACTTAAAACTTTCCACCTCTCCTATCACTTCCTCGCCTATTGTCACTGAACTCATTTAACCTAAATAGATACAAGAGTCAAAATAATGAAAAAAAAGTAAAATCCAGTGTAAAGGTAAATTAAGAGCTGACGATCACTAATGGTTGGATAATTTTGATATAAAGCTATTTTTGCTAAGATATTTAATATATAAATGTTTACAAATTTTTTGTTCTATTTTTGAGATTGATGAATTTACTTTTTTTAATTATTTTTGGGAATATATATATATATATATACCACGGCATATTTTAAGGGGCGGTAAATATCAAAGGTCAATAAATATATTAAAAGCGAGTTATTTGAAATTGTTGTTATGATATATTGACTTCCTAATACAATAAAACTCGCTTAAGACGCTGTTTTTCGTCGATCCCTAGACATTTCCTATACTAGTCAATGTAAAAACCACCTGTTAAGACGCACAGTTTTTCTCTGTCTAATCGGGTAAAACGCTCTTTTGTTCAACATATTACGATAAATTTTAGTAGTTTTGTGAAATAAAAATAGAATTTTTAGTATTATACGTGTTCTTATCGTTTTATTTTATCGCTATGTAATTATCATAATCGATTTCATTGATTGGGGGTATTTATGATATCTATATTAATAGCTACAAGCAATTTATTTTATGATTTATTAAAAAACATAGAATTGCTTGGAAAATATTTTTAAATACTTTTTTTTTTGAGGAAAAGGAATTAGTAGTGTTATGGCTAAAACATATAAACATGACCCCCTCCGCCATAACGTAATGAAAGGTGGTAAATTTTGAAATGTCTATAGTTGCAAAATGTGTAAATATGTGAATACGCCCTTGTATGTATATTCGAAAAATAATTATGATAATTATTATTTAGTATAAGCTATTTTAATTCGCTTAATAAACTGAATCTTCACTCATTTTTTATTCATTTTTTAATAAATTCAAGTATAATATGAAATTAATTAAAGTAGAATAATAAACCAAAGGAAGAGGACTTAAAAAACCTAAAATATGAACATTATTTTCTAAAATTTATCGAAATTTGCTGTTTTTTTAATTATATATTTTTCTCAAATATTAAGTTCCATTCAGGGAAATCAGTGAAACTTTTTCATGTTTTAAGAGTCATTTCGTTTACTAGATCAACTTTATGATCTACTGTCTTGTCGTTTAGTAAAATTAGTTTAGTGGGTCTGAAAAAATCAATGACAGTTACAAAAATAACAAATCATAGTAAAACGTTTTCTTCTTCTTCAGATTATTTTCTTAGTTTCTCATCGAAGTTTAAATGATAGAAGATTTGAANTTTTATCCCTATATCAATTATCAATTATCAATTATTATAAAATATCAATTATGATAATTATTATTTAGTATAAGCTATTTTAATTCGCTTAATAAACTGAATCTTCACTCATTTTTTATTCATTTTTTAATAAATTCAAGTATAATATGAAATTAATTAAAGTAGAATAATAAACCAAAGGAAGAGGACTTAAAAAACCTAAAATATGAACATTATTTTCTAAAATTTATCGAAATTTGCTGTTTTTTTAATTATATATTTTTCTCAAATATTAAGTTCCATTCAGGGAAATCAGTGAAACTTTTTCATGTTTTAAGAGTCATTTCGTTTACTAGATCAACTTTATGATCTACTGTCTTGTCGTTTAGTAAAATTAGTTTAGTGGGTCTGAAAAAATCAATGACAGTTACAAAAATAACAAACCATAGTAAAACGTTTTCTTCTTCTTCAGATTATTTTCTTAGTTTCTCATCGAAGTTTAAATGATAGAAGATTTGAATACTCGTTTACCTAATTCTGTATAACTCAAATATAGAATGCATAAAATTATCACTCACTGAAATAACCCAATAAAAAATTAAATATATCAACATGTATTGTTATGCTTACATATTAATATTAATATTAATATTAATATTAATATTAGCCATTCGATTTGTCTTGAAATANCTTATGAAGAGGGATGAGGTACGAAAGTTATGCTTGTTTATATACATGTAGTTTTTTACACGGGGCGATTCTTTTAATATTAGCCATTCGATTTGTCTTGAAATAATAATTATATTAAGCAAATTTTTTTTGGTATTTTTTAATTTTAGAAGTATCTTGATTTATTAATTATTAAGTATTTTTTTAATTCATACCTTATACTTAATAAGGGTTTAAACTTTATTTTTTAAATGGTAACATACATATTTAACTAGCTCACTAAATAAAAAAAATGATCTCATTAAGAAAATGACTGTTCAATAATAACTTTTAAACCATTATTTCAGAAGATAAAACTATTTTAAGATATAGAATGGGGGAAGAGCATATTAATGTAATGCATAATGATAAAAATAAAATATCCTACACCTCTCATCCACTCTATATATTAAAATAGTGTGTAATTATGAACATTTCCAGTTTTTTTTTTGCATTTCATAACTAATAATTTTATTATTATTATTATTGTATTAATACTATGGTTTAAGTTACACAAATTTTTATATAATCTAAATTATTTATTTAGAAATTAAAATTTGAGATCCATTGTTTAAAAAATAGTTGTTTAAAAATTCATAATAGATAACGTTATTATAGATATAAAACCAACGCTTCCTCCTCCTTCAAGACCTAGTTGCAATAGTCGTCCAGCTCCTTGTTACCCCGGAGTTCAGTGTAGTGATAATTTTCCCGAAGGACCCAGATGTGGACGGTGTCCAAAAGGCTTAGTTGGAAATGGCAAGACTTGTAAGCCAGGAAGAACATGTGAAGATAATCCTTGTGCAAATGGTAATTTTTTTATAATTTCAATTTTAAATATTTTATAATTAGTTTTTGAAAAGAACGTTACAATGTTTCTTCATGTGAATACGTACAATTCTTAAATTTTTCACACTGGTAAGAGACTACTTATTATATTTTTCATTTTTTAGGTGTAGTGTGTTACGACACAGTTGAAGGTTTCCAATGTGGCCATTGTCCAAATGGTTTTACAGGTGATGGTCAAAAATGTCGTCCTCTTGGATGCGAAGCAAATCCTTGCTCCCCGGGTAAGCTGAAATAAATTTCACATAATCTAATAGAAGTGTATCATTATAGTGACAAATTTATACATATATAAATGAAGACCATGATTTTAAAAAATAATTTCGTATAAATTATAGATAAATTGATATTTTCTAAATTTTATATGCTAAATTGAATAATAATTATACTAAAAAAGTCTTAAGTTTAGTTATCTTATTTAAATAATGTATATTAATTCAATAAATTGTTGTGATTATAATATTTAAAAAATTCAAAATAAGGCTAAAATTAAAGTTTAACTTTTATAAACTTTTTTTTTGACACACATAACTAAAAGTTGCAGTGTTTTGTAATTGAATATTTTTAGGTGTCAAATGTATTATAAACGAAGAGTCTCCATTCTATAAATGTGGTAGCTGTTTACCTGGTTACACAGGAAATGGAACAAATTGTGTAGATTATGATGAAGTAAAAATCGAATTAAAATCGTTTAAAAGAATATTAAGAAGCTGAGTACTATATTTTCAGTGCGATCTTGATGAGCCTTGCGATCCACGAGTACAGTGTATAAATAAACGGCCAGGTTATAAGTGTGGACAATGTCCTCCGGGATACACAAGTATTGGTATAACTGAAGGAAATGGAATTGTAGGTAGAAAAAAGACCGATGTAGATCGTCATCAATGTGTGGACATAGACGAGTGTGCTGATAGTCAAATCAATGGATGTGCCATACATTCTCAGTGTATAAATACGGAAGTAATAATATTTTAAGTTAATCCAATTAATCTAAGTCTTTGTAAAAACAAAAAGTGTACAATTATGTTAAAATATAAGTATAAGCTATGTAAAAAAAAATTTAATACTAAAAAACTGTTATAATAAAATAATTTTTTAATCAGAAAAATTATGATTTTTAAGTTTTTGATAAATATTAAACTGTTTTCAACAGGGTTCATTTCGCTGTGTTGGTTGTATCTCTGGTTTCATGGGAAATATCTCGCATGGTTGTATATCTGTGAGCAATTATGAAAGAAATCCTTGGGTTTGTCCTGATGGAACAGTTTGTGATCGGAATGGATTTTGTGTTAAGTCAACTTTAGGAAAATATTCATGTGAGGTATGTATCGTTGAATTTGTCAGCATTTAATTTTAAATCCTGAAAGCAGTGAGTAAAAATATTGTTTAATTGTTTAATATTAAAATGTTTGTAACTGTAAAAATATGTAAATAAATTTAAAATGCAATGTAATATCTAGTCGACTTTTTAAACTTACAAATTAAGAGATGTCAATAATGAAGCTATTTTTCTTTTAATTTTTCATTGAAGTATTTTACTAAGTAATTTTTAAACTTTTAGTGCAATGTAGGATGGGCAGGAAACGGTAAAGTGTGCGGATATGATACAGATCTAGATAGATGGCCAGATGAACACCTTAGATGTAGTGATACTCGTTGTAAAAAAGTAATTAATTAAATCTATACATATAAAAACTGTATAGTTTTGGAATAATTCCCTGTTGACAGGATAACTGTGTGAATATACCAAATTCTGGACAAGAAGATGCCGATCGTGATGAAATTGGAGATGTTTGCGACTCAGATGCTGATAATGATGGCATACCAAATACTCCAGTATGATATATATTAACATATAATAATTATTATATGTTAATAATAATAATTATTTATTATATAATAAAACATTTAATAATACTTTTTCACAGGATAACTGTCCTTTAGTATCTAATCCAGACCAATTAGATTCAGATCAAGACGGCGCAGACAAAAAAGGAGATGCATGTGATAACTGTCCAACTATTCCAAACATAGATCAATGTGATACTGACCACGATGGTATAGGAGATGCTTGTGATTCTGATATAGACAATGATGGTACAAAAAATATTTTAATAGTTCCATAGAATACAAAAGATTAAAATGAAACTTCTTAAATTTAGGAGTATTAAACCTTATTGATAATTGTCCTAAGAGTCCAAATCCCGACCAAAAAGATTCTGATGGAGATGGTTTAGGTGATGTTTGTGATAACTGTCCATACATGGCAAATCCTGCTCAAACAGACACAGATAAAGATTTAATAGGTGACGCATGTGATAGCGACATCGACAAAGACAAGTTTGTTGTTCATTATTCAAAAATGACTTTAATAACTTGTGCTTAAAATGTTTTCAATATTTTTTTACAAGAGATGGTATACAAGATAGTGTTGATAATTGTCCTAAAATTGCCAATCCAGATCAGTTGGACACAGATGCAGATGGTAAAGGTGACGAATGTGACCTTGATTGTGATAATGATGGTATTTCAAATCGATTGGATAACTGTGTTTTAGTCTATAATCCAGACCAACGAGATTCAAACGGTACTCTTAAAATTTTTAATATTATGAATCTTTTAGACAATTATAGAAGGACATTGAAAATTTCCTTAAACTTAGTAAGAGTTATACATGTAATTATTAAATAGGTGATGGTCGAGGAGATGCATGCCAAGGAGATTTTGACAGAGACAATGTACCAGATCATCTAGATAACTGTCCCAATAATTCCAAGATATTTACAACAGATTTTAGAACTTATCAAACAGTAGTTTTAGATCCCGAAGGGGATTCTCAAATTGATCCGAATTGGGTAATATACAACAAAGGAGCTGAGTTCGTACAGACAATGAACAGTGACCCAGGGTTGGCCGTGGGTAAGAATATAATCGGCATATTATTCTCGATATTCGTATAAATAAATATTATTTCGTGGTTTAGTAATATGAAATATATTTTTAATATGTAGGATTTGACGCATTTAGCGGAGTTGATTTTGAAGGAACATTTTTCGTCGATACAGACTCAGACGACGATTATGTGGGTTTTGTTTTTAGTTACCAGAATAATCATAAATTCTACACAGTTATGTGGAAAAAAGGTCAACAGACTTATTGGCAAGCAACACCCTTCCGAGCTGTAGCTGAACCTGGAATTCAAATTAAAGCAGTGCATTCAGAAACTGGCCCTGGACAAATGTTACGAAACTCATTATGGAGCACTGATTCTACGGATAAACAAGTGAGATTCTCTTTTAATTATTATCTATGGATAAATTATTTTATCAAAGCATTATTAACTGATATAAAACTTTTTAGGTAAAACTTTTATGGAAAGATCCTCGTAACGTCGGTTGGAAAAGTAAAACAGCTTATAGATGGATTCTTTTACATAGACCTAAAATCGGATTAATAAGACTTAGAATAACTGAGGGCCAAAATATAGTAACAGATTCGGGAAATGTATTTGATTTCACATTTAAGGGAGGTCGTTTAGGCGTATTCTGTTTCTCGCAAGAGATGATCATTTGGTCCGACTTAGTTTATCGCTGTAACGGTAAATAAAACTATTTAAAATTTATATATTTTAAGTTAATAGTACGAAACTTCTTGTTAATTTTAAAACATAATAAACATTTTTTTTTTAATTATGTTTTTTTTAGTAGCAATCTCGTATATAGGTTGGTGCAGGTATAGTATAAATTAATAGGGCATATATGTATTAAAATACTTGTAACTCAATAAGTACATTTTCATGAAACCATCAATTAAAAATTTAATTAATTAAATTAAAAATTAAAAAAAAAAATAAAACATACAATTTTTTTTAATAGAAACAAATATTAAAAATAAGGTTTTTTACGTACTTAGCCTAAAAATACAAAAGTTGTTAGAAATAAATCACAGTTATGTGATTATGGAACAAGATTTAAGAGTTGTTATTTCGATTTGTTTCAATTCTAAAAAATATTATTGCATAGTAACAGTTTTATTATGTAAAATAAACTTTTTTTAATTGTCATTTTAAGGGCATAAAAATGTAAATATATTGTCCTCGCGATAGTGAAATCTTAAATACGTCTCTAAAAACCAACTAATTTTAATGTTTTCTTAATGAATTACAGATGATGTACCTGAAACTATATACAGAGATTTACCACCTAACTTACAACAAGAAGTTCAAGTAGATACAAGACGAATGTCTAACTGAGAATTAATATACTTTAAATATATATTTTAAATTAGCAATTTTAAAATTGTTAAATAATTTTAATTTTTTGGATATTCAATTTCATAGGTATGTCTACCTAAATACCTATATGCAGATAATAAAATCAATATTATAAATCATTGCTTATAAACTATAGACATATCATACTTTTTCAAATTTTATAATTAGTTTTAACCAGTATTTTAGCTACGATGCGTAGCTGAGAAGGTATTGGTTTAACTCCGGCGTGTTTTTTTTTTTTTGTGTCAGTTTACAAATTAATAAATTTTTACTGGAGCACTTTCACAATACGATACGTCAAAAGATCTTAAATTTTACCTAGTTCGATTTCAAGACGTCATTCCCTAAATCCTTGTAATTAAGGGAAATGTTCCAAAAAATTATAATTATTATAAAATAGTCGATGTACATTCACTGAACATTTAAAACATCAACGTTGATAACTTTTTGAAAATTGAACAGATTATTATTAAATTTTTATTACCAATGACATGCAATCAAAGGTTTTCGGTTCTTTATTTATCATTTTTATATTTTTGATCTAGTTAAAAAGTCTTCAATTTAAAATAATATCTGGTTTATTTCAACAAAGATTAAGTATAAAATTTATTTTGTTCTTTACTTTAATCATAAAATATATAAAATGTATTGTATTAAAATTCAATCATTACTCAAAGCTCATTTTTATTGATAATAATTAAGACATTAAAGTTGCAGTCTGAATAATTTTTTTTTTTTTAATTCAATAATCACCTATGGTACTAGGGAATCTTAAAAATCATATCAAAATGTTTTTCTTACAATTTTATCATGTTCCAAAAACTAAATTTCTTTAAAACTATATGAAAACTTAATTTTTATATTAAAGATATATTTTTGTTAAAATGGTTTTTCATAGAAACCAATTATCTATATCATTCAAAACTAAATGAAAATTTATTTAATATACTATGCGATTAAAAAAAGGAAGACGTTACAAGGACTTGTCTTCTTGGAGTAATAGACTTTAAAGTTGGAAACCATGTATTTTTAATGTTTATATTAAATTTAAAATAATATAAAATTTATTTTAAACATATATCAAAACGTTTTATAACGGTGGATTTAATAGAACTGTCAGATATCAATAAATAATAATCTAAAGAAATACCTCGATTGTACTAAATCTCATTTAATTTTATAAAAACAAAATTAAAGTTCAATGGTATTCTTCATAAATAATTACATTTTTTATTTTTATACTCATTTTAAATACTGCTTGATAAATATTAAAATTAATTCAATGGCAAATGTATATATGAGCCAAATATTTATTTTTTTAAATCTATAATTTTACTTAAATATTGAAACTTTCTTCAAACTTTTAACAAACAATATAAACATTTTAAGTTATGTGAAAATCATATAATACCTTGTTGCTCTCTGCTAAAACTAATATTATACTCATTTACTAATGTTTTACTTTTTATAATAAATTTTCTAAATTAAAAATAAAAGAGTAAGAACACTTTATGATAAAAGTAATTATAAGATTTATTGTGATATAAATTACATAGATATGGATAGGCCTACGATCTTATAAGAGCTATGTCCTTAAAGAAAATCTAAATGAGTGATCAATAAGTACATATTATTATTACAAAATACAATTATTTAAAAAAATAAAATTAATTATGAAAATGTTTTGTAATAATAAAGAATTAATCTATATTAAAATGTATTCATCTATAAATACTTACTATACTATTATTTTAAAACAAATTATTGAAACATAACAGAATGAATAAACATGGCTTTTACTCATAAGTAGCTGAATAAATTCACATAGCCTTAAATATTTATTATAAAGTACGAAAATAATCAATTNATAGCCTTAAATATTTATTATAAAGTACGAAAATAATCAATTCAGCATTTACACTTTTTATGTACAATAGAGCTTAGAAAAAATAAGACACTTATTTTTTGATCCAATATTCTTCACATCTATAAATTAATTGCAATGAACACTCAATTTGTTCTTGGCCTTTTGAACAATAAAATATGTGGTTCTGAAACATTTTTAAGTCAATGTTATTAAATAAATTTTTATATATTTAATTATATAAAATATAATTAATAATATTATATGTAGACTATTTGTAGGCTAATTGCCTTAGGTAAAATTTTACAAAAATATTTTGAATTTGGTTTATTTGAAATTTTAATGTTCTTTTCATGTTATAAGCAAAAAAAAATTATTTTTTTTAAAGTGTTATTTAAGCCAATAAGCCCATAAGCAATCAATGTAAGTTAATAAAAATTTTTAATCACTTTAAAACATCAACTTTCTTGGATTTAAATATTTTTAATATAATACTAAATTACTTAATTAATTTAAAGATTTTTTGACCTAAAAATTAAATAAAATAACAAAAATAAAATTACAATAGAGTCAGGCTTATTTTTTTGTTAATAATTTATTTAATTAATTACTATTAAAATAATTTATAAATCTACTTGACACTTACAAACATGAAAATACCCATTAATTTAACTAGGTGGCATTATTTTCAAAACATCACAAAATCTTAATAGTTGTTAATTATTATCATCAATATTTTATGAAAACAAATATATTTCTAAATTTCAAAAATATTAAGTATTTAAAAATATATTTATTACAATATAATAAAACAATTACATTTTTAAAAAATATTAACACATTTTAAAGTTGATAATTAAATTAAAAAAACGGTAGCACAGTGGGGTCGAGGCACAGTATAGACGTGGCATAGATGAGATAAGTATAGATGATATCTGACAGTGATTAAAATCACTATCATAAGAAACGCTTCGATGCAAATCTGTAGATAGTGTTTCCTTTAGAGAAATTGGTGAAATATTTTAAAAGCAACATGAACTCTTATTTCTTTAATTATATCCTGATTAGTAGTTCTTTGATTTTAAAATATAATATATGAATAAATACTAATTATAGTTTTTAAATTTAGTATGAAATTGTGAGGCCAGCTATGATGTATGGTTAATAGTGTTGGGCGGTTGATAAGAAAGTAGAGCAGAGAATAAGTGTAGCAGAGATGAGAATGCTTAGTTGGATGAGTGGAGTGACTAGAGAAGATAGGATAAGGAACGAGCATATAAGAGGAAGTATAGGTGTTGCGTCAATCGTGGATAAGATGACAGAAAATAGACTTAGATTGTTTAGTCATGGTATGAGGAAAGAAGAATCGAAAGCTGTAAGAACAGTTATAGAAATGAATGTTGAAGGAAGAAGAGATAGAGGAAGACCAAAAAAGAGATGGAGGGATGCTATTGAATGCGATTTGAGGACAGCTGATGTGAGCGTAGAAGATGTGGGAGATCGTGTCAAGTGGAATCTTAGGATAAGGGTGCCCGACCCCAAGTAGTTGGGATTAAGGCAAAGAAAAAGAAAAATATTACCAGATATTCCGGTGGCAATTGACATAATATGATTGTTATTTCGGAATGTACAATTTAGCGTTTAGTTGGGTTTAAATAATATAGCGTCAAATCAATTACCTACTCTATCGGTTGTATCTCAATATACACTACACTTTAATGATACAATAAATAAATAAACTCACACATACACACATATGCATTTATAACATTGTGTCTAATGTAAGTATAACATGATAAAAAGTAACCGTAAAATGAAAAAAATGGAATATAAATTTTATTACTCATATTAAATGTAATGTAACTCGAAAAATATTTGTTTAAATGAAAAAATATAAGATTATATTTTTATTTATAATTGTCTTTTAAACAACTTTTGTGCGAAACTTTTTTTTGTAAGTTAAATATTTTTTTTTGAGAAAATTAAGAAAGCTCATATTTTTGAACTTTTGCGAGGATTTAAAAAAAAAGCTCAATTCCAATCTTGAGGACTATTAGTATGTCATTATACATATTTTAATTCAACTTTTAAAAAAACAAAATTTTTTCCGCAATTTTTCCTTTGTTGACTGGCCTAGATGTCAATTTTAAACTTGTAATTGAGCTAAAAGTTATGGTAATATATTCAATTTATTTTACTATAAACTTTCATAAATCTTTATCAAAAATTTTTCATCAACTTTAAAGAACCAAAAAAATAGGTTAAAATTGAAAATTTGGACTGATTATTTTTAACATATTAAAAATCAAATCAGTAATAATTTGAAAACAAATTTTTTTTTCTTTTAATTATTATTTTATATATATAATTAGTAATAATATAAAAAATTAGAAGTGATAGAAATAGTCTACTTGCAGATTTGAAAACAACGCGAAAAGTTGATTTAGAAAAGTATATTTTTGCTTCTGATGAAAGTTCCTTGTAGTCCAGTGCATTTTTTTATAGTAACAAACAGTTTTTATTGAAAATTATTGTATCAAGCCCTTTAAATTTTTATACACGTAAAAGTAAAGCAAAATATAACTTCTTTATTATTTTTATAATTTCTCCGTTTAAATTACAATATTAAATATCAATTTCATACTAAATTTAATAATTATAATTAGTATATATTCAAATATTATATTTTAAAATCAAAGAACTACTAATCATGATATAATTAAAGAAATAAGAGTTGATGTTGCTTTTGGAATAATCCACCAATTGCCTAATTAAAACAAAAAAAAAAAAAGTTTGTTGGGAATTTTTTCTGCTATTCTGCAAAATTACTCCTTCGTTGACTAGAATGAATCATTAAATAGAAAATTTTATGAGAATTAAAACAATGTTATTTTTAAGATTAATATGCAGTCAGAAAGTTTTATAATTATTATTTATTGTAAATTTATCAGAAAAACTCATTATTTTTTGCATTTTTATCGTAATAGAACACTTAAATAGAAATCATAGTAATCATTTCTAAGTAATTTTTGATATTTAAAAAGATTCTACTATTGAAATATCCAGAACTGAATTAATTTTAATGATTTACTTTAACTAAAAAAAAAAAAGTTAATATTTTGAATCCCTCTTGTGGGCAGGTAAAGGGTTAGATTTATAAAAAAAACCAAATGATAGATAAAGACATGCATCTAAATAAAAAAAAATATACTGATTTGGTCATTTTTGATAAAGTTATAACAATTAACAAAGTTATAAGTTTTATACACTGGACTACAAGGAACTTCCATCAGAAACAAAAATATACTATTCTAAATCAACTTTTCGCGATGTTTTAAAATGTGCAATTAGACTTTTTCTATAACTTCTAAGTTTTAATATTATTAAAAAATAGTTTTTACATATAAAAAAAAATAATTAAGAACAAAAAAAATTGTTTTAAATTAATACTGATTTGATATAATATTTAATATTAATTTGATTATTAATAAGTTAAAAATAAGGAAAATGACATATTTAACCAATTTTGTTAATCGTTTAAAGTTGATTGTTGTAAATGTTTATAAAAAAAAAAAAAAATTTATTTTACCATAACTTTTAGCTCAATTGGTAAGTTTGACATTGACATAATTAAATAGAAAATTTTATGACAATTAAAAAAATTGTATCGTTAAGATCAATATGCAGTCAGAAAGTTTTATAATTACTATTTATTGTAAATTTATCAGAAAAGCTCAATATTTTTTTGCATTTTTATGGTAATAGATAACTTAAATAGAAGTAATAGTAATAATTTCCTAGGAACTTTTGTTGTTTGTTGAAAAGATTCTATAATTGAAATATTGAGAACTTAATTAATTTTAATGATTTACTTTAACTAAATGTACCAATCAAAACAAAGTTGTTAAAAAGATTTACTCAATTGAGTGTATTATAAAATTTGATTATATTTGTAAAAATCAATTGTTAATTCAGGAGAAAAAACAATCATTTTTTTTAGAAATGATTTATATAGCAACATGTTACAAAAAAAAATTGTAATATTATAGTCTAGTAGTAGCACACACAAATAGAGTAAAAAAATTATTAAATTACAAAGTAAAATGATTTAATTTTGTAGTTGAAACCTATCATATCAAACTTCATTCGTTAATAAATATTTTGAAAACATTAGAAATTAATGATTTTAATTGTCTTTATGGAGACGATGTAATAACTAACTGTTTAATTGATAAATTAGAATTTTTTTTTCAATTTTTGAGAGTAATATCTTCAACTAGATACGAATTGTAGTCATTGGACGTATCGTTGAAAAAAGTAGGTCAAGTTAGAGCAGAGAAAATAAATGATATTCACAAAAAAACATCTTCTCGGCTTTGCATCGAAGCTAAAACTTAAAATATAGTAAAATAATTTTAATACGAATAAGAAATTTCTTCTTGCAAGGGGCGACTAAAGTGATGGGATCATTGTTCTTTATTGAAGTTATTGAATCTAAATGAGTTAAAAATTCTTTAACTAACTTAAAAAGAATTAAGAAAAAATGCAAAAAATTCATTGCAATACGCGGGTTGGAACCTCGTACCCCAAGCGTGTAAAACATAAATTTTACCAACTCGACAACCGTACGTCGCTACCGTCGGTTGAAAAAATAGGCTTTTAAGCTAGTTCAAATTTCAAAGTTATTTTTCTCGACTTAAAAGAAGCAAACAAATTTAAATAAGTTTAACTTTCTATGCTATATTAATTTTTTATTTATATAATATTTATGAAAATCTGTAGTCCCCTTGTCAGGTATTTTAAAATAAAATAAAATACAAAACCCAGAATTTTAACACAAAAATAGCAAATTTTTGAATACGGTAGTCATTTTTACCGTGAAGACAAATCCAGAGGTCACATTTTTTTTTTTAAATTAAAGTATATTATATAAGCTTTAATTTAAGATATATATAAAAGTGTCAGTATTTCCGGAATACTTTCAAAAATTAAATTGAAAATATCATAGTAACAATACGCATGATTAAAGTTTTGACCCCCCTTGTTAAAGGGGTATGATCCGATTTACAAAAAAAGCGTGTAGATGAAAGGAGTATATAAATATTTATTATAAAAAAATAATAATATTGATCCATACATTTTTCCAAAAGTTATATAAAATATAAATTAAATAA